TGAATGAAATCTTGAGGAGCAGATGTTTCGTAAAATGTAAAATGTAAATACTTAAGTAAAGTTTTGTATTATATTTAAGTGTTTAAGTGTTTTCATTACTGACTTAGTGTCACAGCTCATCAGTATGCATGTTATTGATTGGTTTATATTCATGTCTGTGAGGTATAAAATCCAATTAGCAGGCTGGAGTTGTACTGATTGATGCATTATTAATTGTCAACTCAATGTAGACTTTTGGAAACAATCTGAATTAAATGGTCGCTCCGAGAACACATACCTCCACCGATCACATTAATGAAAGTGAAAAACAATTCCTGGGTCTGCTCCCTTAATTGAAACTGCTCGCACAGTTAATGGGTTCTATCTTGGCCGACACCACATCCTTCCACCGAGTTTCAAGAAATCCTTTTTGTGGAATCTTGCTAACAGACAAACAAACAGGCAACAATGTGACACCGAGAAATCATACTTGATGTTCGGTGGAATTGTTTTCTGAGCTTAAACAAGGGCTAAAAAATATTGGACAGATTTTGACACAACCCAAAAACCCCCGTCAGAGGGACTTGTAGTTCTGTGAAGTGGTGATGCTGCTTGTGACAGGAACTCTTCGGCGCCTTCAAGGAAGCTCCAACATCCGATATTTACATTTTAATGAGATGATCCAAGTTCTGTATTTAGATCCCATACTGATAGATTCCATCTGATTAATAGAGGGTTTTGTTTCATGTCCGATAGCAGAACAAGCTAGAGAGTAAACTTTTGAGTTTTTGTTTTAATTTATCTGTTTTAATAAAATTCGACAGTAAAAGTCAGGAGAATCCGAAAAAGAAGCCAGTTTCTCATCTCTGACATATGATCATGGGTTTAAACTTCCACAGATGACAGTTGACAGGTGTTCATCATTTAAACATCAGAGAATACTGAACAGAGCAGAACAGAATTCTGGTTTCACTCATCGACTGTTTATAAAGACGGGCAATACGTCTCCACTTCCTCCCTCCGTCCAGAAACGAAGCCAAAAGATCTTACACCTCCATCTTCTGCATCTGGAATCAATCTCAGCTGTCAATCAGGACATTCCAACCTATTTTTACAGCATCAAATTAAATGTCCCATCCACTAACTTGGAGGAGGCAGGCTTTATAACCTATACTGCAACCAGCCACCATGGGGGACTTTTGAGGGGCGGTAATGTTGTCCATCTTTATAAACAGTCTATGGTTTCATCATCATGTTGAGTCACAAGAACTTTACACCTGCAGCACGTCTGCAAAGTTCACGTGGTGGAAGTTTTAGCAAATTAAATGATTACATGAATGAATATTTTGGATTATAAAGTTTACATAAAACTACATCGATGTAGCTGTTGAGTTTTTATGAAGTGGTGGGGGCTTGGTGCAGGAGAAGCAGCATCCAGGTATTTTTTTTCCCTTTTAAAGTTGCTTGTTGCCGCTGCTGGAAATGAAGTTTATCTGCGTGATGACCCTGAATCACACAGCAAATGTGCCATAAAATCAAAACAATGAGCTAAATGAGGCTGAAAAGCTCATGTGGCTCGTTCATCAGGACACGAGGCTGCTTTCACATCACAGGGAATCATTATCAAATACTGATTAAAGAGGCTTTAAACCACATCAGGTGAAGACGCTGCTCTCGACTCCTGAGGGAAATGATTCCTGAAGCTTTCTAACCCCCGAGGTTTCCACAGATGAAAGTGCTCTGCTGTGAAAATCTCAAGCGACGCTGAGTGGAAGTAAAACCGTGGAGGTAAAAAGCAGTTTAAAAAGCTCATGTGGTATGTGGAGGAGAGTGAAATGATTTGCTGTTAATATCCTCACAGATGCAAAACTAACCCATGTGGCACTTGAGTTTTCAGGTTTATATTGTTCCTCAGTTGTGACATTAATCAGTGGGAAGAGATCACCTCACTGCGGGGGAGGGGGGTGATTAAAGGGCTCTTACGTAAAACCCTGAAGCTGCACTTTCTGCCTCATTAATTACATCCACGCGTCGTAACCTTTCCCTTATTCCAGTATACAGGTATGTAGGTAGCACCCGACTGCAACAACAACAGGGTCAGGGTTCACAGAGATAAGGCTGTCGCACTGCTGCTGTGGACACACTGTGACGAGGGGTGTTTTCTTTTACAGTCGATGCTACTTTTGGGTTTCCAGGGATGTTGAAGTCCAGTGTGTGCGTGTGTGTGCGGAGGCCCACACCTAACCCTGAGTTAATCGTCGGCCACCATGTGCCAGGAAGTCATATGAGGAAACATTGGTGGTCTGCTTATAGAACATGGGAACGCAGGAATCGTGGCAGAGGTTAGTGACACGCAGAGGTTCACACAGACCTGTGTGACTGGGAGAACAATGAGGTTCAGACATGATTCATCCCTGAGGTTCTTCCTCGACGCCAGTGCCCTGCACCTCTCCGCCACAGGAAAAGATGCTGCCGTGCATGGGACATCCACCACTGGGCCCACTTCCCCTTTCCCAGTGCGTCTGCAGGGGCTCCAGTCGTGAAAGCGTTCTTCCTGACGCCTTTCCCAATGTTTGCAAAAGACAAAACGTTAAGTTGAGGGACGGGACTTGATGGATGCTCTCCCTCTTGGATTTTAATGGACATTCATGCTAACGGCCCTGTGGACCGCAGCGTGGCCTCCAGCCAAGTCCCGGAGGCCGGTTGTTCAAAACATGCGAGCATTCCTCCGCTCTCATGCACCTAACTGAAGCCTGGAAAGTAAATGTGCAATGACAGCGACTCTGCATCACAATAGATTCCAGCAACCCCCCCCCCCCCCAAACAGTCACATGGCCCCTTTTCATCCCCAACACGAACACAAATAAACCACAGAGAAACACCAGAGGCTCTCGACCTCAACTTTCTACCTAGTAGTGATCCGAGTGATCTCAGCAAAGATGCCAAACTATCCCGCGGTTAAACTGGGCCTGTTTATACCCTGAGTATATTCTGGGCTAGTGCAGATTATACACGCATGTCACAGTGTGACATGGGTGGTTGTGTTTCTTACACCAGCCTGCATCAGTAGCTGGCGACTGTAGATGCTCAATAAGAGACATGGTTGTGCTGATGAGTCCACTGAAAGTAAATCCACAGTGCCCGGGACAGATAGCGTGCTTGTGAAGAAACAATAGGTATGGATTATGGTAAAGAGTCTTATCATCATCTCCTCTATCCCAGGTTAAGACCACATAACACCTGCTGCTCCACTTGGACACTTTTGCGTACATCATCATATTACAGCAGAGAGAGAGAGAGAGAGAGAGACGGTGAGGGAGAAGGTTTTAAGATTATTCTCTATTATGTTCTCTAAAGGAAATGTCGTATTATAGAGAGAGAGAGAGAGTTGGCTGGTAAATCCTCGCTGTTTGTGGAGGAAAATTAATCCTCCAATTTCAAGAGAGAGAGAAAGTGATGAGAAAGCACCTTCGATCTCATGCAGGGGGCATTTCAAGCACATGGAAAAAAAAAAAAAGAGCGATGACTGGGGAGTAATGAGCTTCATAAAGTTCCCCTGCTGCAGATGACATGAACATATAAAAATGAGCAACGTCAAGGTAAAAAAAAACCCAACAGAAGAAAACTAAATGTAGACATGAGTGAACACTTCAGTGCAGAGGGGAGTAGAAATTTAAACATATTCAAAAGTAAACTATTACTGACAGAGCTCGTAAATCATCACGACACAATCTGCGTGCTACAGTTTGACAGCATCTTGTAAACACTTGTTCAGTGGTAAACAGGACGACAGCCTTGTTATGGATTCAGCAGATCAAAATTTCAATCCCATTTAACCATTATATCAGTAAGTATATGAAAGACATCACTTAAAACCATTTGGGATTATGAGGGAAATAAATATTTAAGTCTATGTAACAGTACTTCCCCAGTGCACATAATATGTCCTAATGATATAGTTAATGGATTATTTAACATGAACTGCAGCAGAGTGGACAGATGGATTAAAAATCTCTACTTCACATAAAGGTCCACCGCCTCCGACAGGCTAAAGAATATATAAAGACATATTTTTCCTTTACAGGCATTTTTTTTTTTTTTTTTTTGAGTTAAGTGAAATCAATGCTTTTGGAGACTTATTTAAAACCTGCAGATTCCCTGGACAGATGCCCGCATGTGGTTTTAATAAAGAAAGGCTCAGACCACAGAAAGTAAATGAGCTTAGGTCTGTGCATTAATAACGGCTGAGTGTATTGTTGACAGTGTGTAGGTAGTAGAAAGCATTAGAGCCACAAAAGATCTCAGAAACTGCAGGATTACCAACGGAAGGAGTTGGAGAATTAAACAAAAAGTCTGGTGTAATGAACAGTGAGTAAAAGCTAAAAGGATGCTGTTTATAATTAAGCGACTTTAGCAGCCATTAGATTTAGGATTAGATTCCTTGTTTTAAATACATCACTGCCAAGATTATTATAGGGTTACTGCTGACACACCCTTCTGCTCTCACATCAACATATGGTGCACACCCCCAACACCCACAAAGGCAAATGCAAACATTTAATTGTACAATAAACCTTTAATAAATAGTTTGTCATTAGTTTCCCATATTTACATAATAACCACCATTTACTTATGTTGCCATACTCATTTCTTGGCTAAATTTAGGCACACAGAGAGGGGGGTTCAGGCCACAAACCACGTCGTACTAAAAACAGGAGTGGCTAGCAGGTAAGTCTTGAGAAATAGATCATAATTGCACCATACAACCAAATAGACCAAGAGGTGGTCGTCTCCTTGAGCAGTTAAATATATACATTTACTGTACGTACAGGTGGTTTTTGTACATTTACAGTCATCTGTGGGAGGGAATTGTATGAGTGCACGTGGGGCTGGTGCAGAATCTTACCAATTTCTGAAGGATCTGAATTTTCTGTGTTGGTCCAATAAATGATGCATTAAAAAAAAATAAAGAATGTGATATTCAGAGATTAAATCAAGAGTAACAGCCTCTGGTTTAGTAACACCCCCTCTGAAATAATAAAAACTATGAAACAGGTGACTGGAAACGTCGAGGGCGTAGCGGTCAGTGTGTACAGCTTGGATTCGGACATTCAGTGACTCTGAGCTGATCAAATGTAACCAACCATGGTGAAATGCTTGTTATTAAATGAAGACCGAGACTGAAAACGCAGACAGATGTTTGGTGATTTACCATCTAGCCACAAAGATTGTTAAATTTGGATTAAGTTTTAGAAGTATAAAAAAAAGTTAAAACTTAAATCTTCAGCCAAAGAAAATTAAGACAAATATCTAAATCAGTCACAAACACACACACACACAGTATGAAAAAGCAAACCAAAAATTTTTTGGCACAAAACACATGATGCACATTTCACTTCAGAGATGTTAAGCAGCGTGAAGTCCACCGTTAGCTACGACTTAACCAGACCAGGATGTAATTTGGTTGTTTAAATGCACTTGAGGCATTTTCAAATTAACTGTTGAAAACCGAGATGGGAACAATTTACTGTTAACAGTCTGAACAAAGGAAACACAGCGTCACTGGTGTGAAAGCACCAAAAACCAGACGCAGCCGAGATCAGTCGGGTACAGAGCTGCAGCTCAACCTGGGGCGAGGGAAGTGACGGAAGTGATGGCAGCAGCAGCAGTAGACAGATGACTCAGAGCAGAAAAATAATTAAAGATTCTAATCATGAAAACTACCACACACTGAATGTTGCTTCTTCTTTATGTTTCTAAAATTTAGATTGATTTTTGTTTGATAGATTATGTCTAAAGATAAACTGATCATAATATATTATAAACTCTAAATTTATCGATTCTCATCTGAAGATCTAAGAACTAAAGGTTTAGTATCGACTGGAGCCTGAAAAGGATTTGTTGTTAGAGTGTTTGAGTGGTTTCATTTTATGAATAATGATACGTTGATGTTTTAGCAGTTAGCTTTAGCAGTTTATTAGATTGGGAGCCCTGTTATTTTAAGTTTGAATAGATTAAAACAAATATAAAAGAGAAACTGATGTTTAATTTTTAACCTCAAAAGAAATTAACTGCCGTTAAAAGACAAATTCTGCAGCTGATACATCTGCCAATACTGAAGCAGCTATTCTTTCTCTCGCCTACAGGAGGCGCTCTGCGGCCCTGCATCTACTGGTGTGAACTGCTGCTGCTGCTTCATGTCCTATGGGTGATGCAGGTTGAAAGTGGGATAACAGCGCCCCCCGATGGAGAATCTGCAGTCTATTGAATGTGGGTTTCAGAGTTTCAGGCCAGTTTAAGTTTCTACCACAGGAACAGTTGGGGAGATGTGCTGCGCCCTGTGACGACTGAACAGCATCGAAAACGTCAGGGATAAAATGAAACCTTCAGTCCAAATCTTCGTCCGTTACATCCCAAACTTCCATCACTGATATTTTGTTTAACCTAATGATATTTAATTCAGTCTGCGTATTAACAGTCAGTGCCAACACTGACATGCTTATAGCGTCGCTCCAGCTCCTAATGGCTCCGAAGCTTTATAAATAAACCGTCACCCTGTCGGCAATAAAACATCAGCAAACTAAGTAACAGGAAGGACGTGAAAACAAAAAGGAATTAAAAGTGTGTAACGGCTCCGATGGGAGCGATAGCGTATGATTACAGAGCCTTCTCAGACCTCGGTCTTCATACAGGTTACGTAATATCTCTATATTTATATATCTTAAGTCACTTCAAGGCAACATTTGTTTCTTGAATAAAAACGTGAAGCACAACTAGCCTTCAGTTCAAACTGAAAAATTTACAACCCAAACTGTACTACTAATCTAGAGAATGGCAAGTAAACATTGAAAAACAGTTTCAGCTAATAAAGTGGTCTCAGTTTCACACTCCTGTCTGTAAGAAGTGTGATGATTAAACAAAGTGTGGTCTTACGAAGCTTTATCTACGTGAACTGGTCGAACCTCTCCAACCCTGGTCTGCAGAGGCTCCTCTCTCAGGGGTACAGTTACTGTGCTTCCCCGCTGCGTGCGCTCCGAGGAAGAACCGTGCTCCCTCCTTGGAGCTGTGGCGGCTTCACAACAGAAGTTAACTTGTGTGAAACCAACAGAGAAGCATCCGACTGTTTGTTGAGCTCCTGTTAGAACAAACAGACAGAGTTGCCGCTTCACTGGCTACAGATGAATATGAGGAATCACACGGGGATTTACTAACGTACACTCCAACCCAAATCACTTCCCTTCTGTGTTGCACCAGTAGGGGGCGAGCTGCTGTATTCTCCACTTATTGTTTTATAGAAACCAAAGGGTCCAGCTCAACCAAGTCACACACACACCTTTCCACTGCAGCCCCCAAAAATAATAGACTCAACACACTCTCTGTGCAGGGTCGTTAGAGAGTCCTCAAAGTACCCTGCTCTTAAAAAACAATAGGGCTGCTAAGGAACGAGTGCCCACTTTTGTGCTGTGGACGCAAACACAGACACATTCACCTCTCAGCAGCACTCAGGTCTGATGTGTGCCTGAGGTACGAGCGTGTCCATGTGGTCAAATGTGTGTGTCTGTTCATTGTGCAGGGGTTTTGGGGGTGGAGTGAGGGTGTCTGCCCCTCCTTAGCTGAGGTTATACACTGCTGTCCTCCAGCAGAGGCTCCTTGCCCTCTGCCCCGCTGCCCTGGGGGCTGTGGGAGTGACTCTGTGCACCGTTGCTGTGCTTCTTGTAGGCGCCGGGTCTCGTGCCGGGGCCCGTGTGCTCTGGGATAAACAGGGCGACCAGCAGAGACAGCAGAACTGAGCATGCACCAAAGAGGAAGGGAGGACCGGGGATGATGGAACTCTGCAGAGGGGGCAAAAATATTCTGTTAAAGCACAGCTACAGCATCTGCAACATATTCTTTGTATTGTGTAAATGACTTTTCATTGATATTCACCTCATCAGTGGGGTTGGCCATGTTGAGTTTGGCACCTTTCTCAGAGCCGTCTGTGTCAGTCAGCTCCACGTGGAACAAGTAGAAGACGAAACCGTAAAGCGCAGGACCCAAACCGTTACAGAGGCCCCGGATTCCTGTGATCATCCCCTGGACAACACCTACACACAGACACACACAAACATTAACACGTCTCACAGGTCCCACGTTTGATCATTCAGTCTGAAAGAGAATTTGTGTTGTTACAGGTCTTTATCATCTAAACTGATTCCTTACCAATTACTAAAACCAGGTGTTTGGAGAAAACAGTTTTATCCTCAGTTTGAGACTTTAGACAAGTATAGTTGTGGTGTCACATAACCCAACAAATAAATTCAAACAACCAGTTAGAAACTCACCTTGCTGGTCTGGATCTGCGTTACGGGACACGATGGCGCTGATCGCAGGGAAAGTGATACTGGACATGGCAGCTACGGCTCCTGCCGCCCACATCATCCTACAACCAACAGCATACGTTAGTTAAGGATACAAAACAAATCCTGTGCTTGCCGCTATTTACCCAGCATGACCTGCTTTGTCTGCCAACTCTGTAGCTCTTTAAAACGACCTCAACTGACTTCATAAAGCCTTCGGCAGAAAGTCTTCACCAATTAAAATACCTTTCTGTACAAAAGACATGGCATGAGAGTCACGTTACAAAACTTGCTAACATACATGGCGTTTAGGGTACGTGGAGAAATCACATGGAAGAAAAAATAAATGCATTTAGTGCTACTTAAACTGGGAATAGTGGGCACAAAAGTTTTTTTGCCCACCTAAGTTTCAAAACATGAAAAATTATTCTAGCAAAAAAAATTATAAATAAGTAAATACAAAAAACTTCACAGATGATAAGAAAAAAAAAAATTTGGTTGTGGTGCCTTTGCTCTTCAGGTTAAAACAAAAAGAGAAAAGTGGTTATAATCTTGATGGCACTGTACGTTTAGACAGTAAAGAAACATCACTATAGTGATCTCTTTCAACAAGTCTGAATTATCAGATTATAGCATCAATAACTAGTTGAGGTAATTCTGATTTGCTCCCTCTAGTGGTTTATTAAGGATAATAACCACAGTGAGACAAGCGCGAGTTCAAGTCTAAAACAGCATTAAAACACAGTATTCTAATAACTGTCAAATTCAAATATGTACATGCTAACTAGGGCTGGGGCCTAAACCACAATAAATTATTAAGCATAGTTCAAATTATTTTCCAGTTGTAGATTATGAATTTATCGGATCCTGTTTCACGTTTGTTGAAATATAGGAAAACGTTCCACTGAGCGATGGACAGGATAAATGTGCAGTATATGACTCGAGTTGAATTAACCACCAAGAGACTGTGGTATTGCATCATGCTACAGGAAATGCTTTGTCACCTTAGATTAACTTCCTCCATCATTTGAGATGCAATCTGCTGTGTGACTCCACTGTCTCTCTTTTACAATGCTCAACCAGGCCTGTGAGTCTGAGCTCCACAGATACATAAGTGATCAGTGATGGACATTTAAGGTACAAAAAAACCCTCATTCTTGATCAAACATTTCAACCACTTTCTATGTAATGTAAAGGTGTGTGTGTGTGTGTGTGTGTGTGTGTGTGTGTGTGTGTGTGTGTGTGTGTGTGTGTGTGTGTGTGTGTGTGTGTGTGTGTGTGTGTGTGTGTGTGTTACTAACCAGGGCTGAGAGCCGAAGCCGTACCACGCCAGCTGGAGGATCTGGAAGCCAAGGCCGAGCAGGATCGTGTTCTTGTTTCCTATTGAACGCATCAGAATCCCCAACACCACCGTCTGAGGAGGCAGTGCACAGGTTATATGAGACAGCCCCACAGGTATTAAGTAATGGAGCAAATAGTTGGACTCCGTTTTAATAGTTCACCCCCTCAAGTGTTAAGAGTTGCTGCTTTTCTTTGTCATCTGTAGTTGTGAACTGAATAACTTTGGCTTTGGCTTCTTTGTTTGGAGCAAAAAAAGAAGAAGAATTTTCTGTCTTCTATGATCACACATTATTCATCTATTATCTGTCATGGAAGTTTCTTTTTTCACCTGGTAAAAGCTTTGTGTTTTTCCACTTATACAAACTGGGGATGGACAGAGGGTTTCATATTGTGCATTGACTGCAAAGTGCTGACTCTTTCCGAGGGTTAGGGTTAACCCAAACTTAATTTAAAGCCGTTTTCAGATATGACTTGCGGTTACAATCTGGAGAATTGGCTACAGAGACTACCCACAGTTTCCTTTTCACACATGCAAAACGCAGCGCAAGGTTCTTTGCACAGACGCGTTTACAACAGCATTAAATCCTCTGCATTATTCAGGCGAGAGGTGGAGCAGCCGGTTGCAGCAGGCAGAGGCAGGAAGTGACATTAACTCCACTGCAGAGATCGCACGATTTGCTTTACAACACACAGACACGTGTTCACATATCGACTTCTCCTGGATTTCTACCGACTTCATACCAGGAGACCAGGCGGATTAATCAGCAGAAACAGCGGAGTGTCTGACTTGGACATTTGCGTTCACACATGCACATCCCCTGGAGAAAATACAGGGGAACTGCGGAGTTCAGTGCATGTCTGAAAGCAGCTTCAGACAGATTATTTAATAAATATAATTGGTCAATAATTAATTCAAGGAAATGCACAATAAAAGAGAGAAAGATGATGACTCAGTATCACAGCATCAACAAACAGGAGGAGGATCTTCTCCAGTACCTGAGCTAGTATTGAGAGGATCCCCACTACAGCGATGAAGGCAGCCACTGTCTCTGATGAGAAGCCAATAACCTGAGGGAGAGAGCGTGTTACGATAACACAGGTTAGGACATGATCGTTCACGTAAAGACAAGAAGCAAGGATCCTCAAACACAAAATTAAAGAAAGGGGTTTGTTTGCAGCCTTTTGCGGACACTTGCTGCATCTAACAAGGAGGGCGTCTATTCTTCCTCTGCTACTTCTGTGGTGTATTTAGGTCAAATACGTTGACCTTCATTTCCTCCAATAAAGGCAGCAGCAGCAGGGACAGAGCAGCTTGTGCGAGGTGTATACAAAATATGACCATGAATAGGGAGAGATATCTAATAAAGCATTTTGGCAAAAAGATAACATGAGGGTGTGGTGAGAAATGTTAGCTCCAACACTCAGGGGGAATTTCTGTCCTTTTCAAGATGGATTGTGTCAGACTTGCCCGACTGGTTTAACTGACATTGTTTACACAGACTGAGAAGCCCTCAGTTCAGGCCGTTTGGAGAAAAGGGGGGGGGGGGAGTCACACCTTGTCAGTCCATCTCAGAGCTGCCAGCTGCTGCCAGTCTATTAATAAGCATCTGAATCTGTCCATTTCTGGCAACTTTGTGTTTTCAGATGCACTGGTTTTCCTGTGGTAACATTTTGCTGAGACACTTAATGAATTAGCTTGACTCCTTCAAGCACTGAAAGCAGCTGCTCAGCAAACCTGCAGACCTAATCTTAAAGCAACATATGGGGAAAGTGTGTGTTTGACAAATGTCCCCAAGTTGTTCTGAGGCTATTCCCAGAGCATTTCAGGTGCAATTTTTATATTAGAAACATTAAAGGCTAAAGTATTAACACATACAAGAGTCAAACATTATAATATCCTCTTAAATGAACCTTAACTCACCTTAAAATGTAAAAAAAAACAAAAACACACAACATCTTTGTTATTAGTATATGGTGGAGTATAAAACAGACAGAGTACGACGTGGTAGGAGTACAAGATGGTAGCAGGTGTTGTCAACATGTCTGAACAATGTTTGTCTGAGCAATCCAATCATTTCTTTGGCCTTTGGGGAATGAAGCAGTAAACAGGGAGAGCAGAGTTTTACCTGTCGGAGATAGAGGAAGAAGCTGGAGTATTGGCCGGCCTCTGGGAGGTAGGAGAGAAACACTGTGATACAGATGAGCAGCACCGTTGAGTCCTGGCCCACTTTACGCAGAGACTGGTCAAGAAAAAAGCAAGAACAGTTAGTCGCAAGAATTTAAACAGTTACACTGATGAGGTTAGGTATGGGCATTAAACTTTGATTTACATTACTCTTTATTTGTGTTTATCTTCAAACACAATGGGCTATACTGATATGACCTTAACTTGTGTATAAAACTTAAAATAATAGACTCTTCTTTTAACTCACAGCAAAGGGGTCTGCCTGTTCCCAGGAGATCGGCGCCCCCCACGACGCTGGCCTCATCTTCTCTGGCAGCGACTCCGGCACTGCCACTAGGATGAAGCAGATGTCGAGCAGGGCGATGGCCGTGGCGAGGATCACCACTAAGGTGTCTCCGTAGGCCACAGACAGATAGGCTCCAATGGCTGGACTGGTAACCAGGCTGGCTGCAAAAGTCGCTGATACCTGGATGGAGGAGAGCAGAGGTGACGTCAGCAAAACATGAGGCCATCAATATTTCTTTCATTGTATGGTTCTTTATCAACTGTTTTAGTCTCTATTGTAAAGTCATACAAATACTGATCTAATCATTCAGTGTTTATGTTTAACAGAATGGTGATCAGCTTTTCTCAGGTATCTTCTCACCAAACCATATGCTGTGCTCCTCTCATGCTCCTGCGTGATGTCGGCCACGTAGGCAAAGATCACTGAGAAGGTGACGGCAAAGACGCCGGACATGGAGATGACGGCAAAGTACCACCTGAAAGAAGAAATGAAATTGTCTTATCAGCAAAAACTAAATAACTAAAGTCAAACCTCTTTAAACTATACTTCATTTAAATCAGATATTTTAACGATGGCTTACAATGGGGTTAAAGCTTCTAATATCAAGTTACCAATATAACTTAATTATAACAAATATAATGATTTATTTTGTGACATTGTAGGGACATAGACTGATTCTATTCAACTAGAAAATGAGCAATCTCTCCCACACTTAGACCTGGTAAACTAGGTTATATTAAAAAGCTCTATCTGATTCTGAAAGCTTCCATCAATGATTTCAATAAAGTGCCCTGATGGTTTGTTGCTGATAATACACTAAGACATGCTGTGGCTGTGTTTCTTTTTATCGTCTGTCAAATTTAGGTTTAAGTAAACTTTCTTTTCACTGCATAATGTCCCATTGAACTGAAAACAAATACTCTGTCTCCACACTGTAAGAAGTGTAACTTTGTGCTTGCACTCACCATGGGCTGATCTTCATCAGTGGAATGGGTGCACATGTGAAGAAGACTGTTAGCAGCAGGAAAGACTTGCGTCCCCATACATCTGACAATGCCCCAATTAGAGGAGCACTCAGAAATGATAGTAGGCCCTGGGAGTGATAGAGAGATGGAGGAGGACTTGGGATTAGGGATGTCACATAAGAAATTTTCGTGCCACAAGAAGAGAATTTTTTTTTTTTAACCGAAAACTGTAAATTGATAACTGAGAGAAGTTACCACTGAAAGGACATAGACAGAGATTGTGGTATAAGTACACACACTTTGTCAACACAGCCACTTTCTGAAACTGTGGACAACAGTTATTACAAAAAAACTGGTAAATCTAAAATAATTAAAAGATTTCCTCTCCAACTATATTTAGACACGCTCTCCTCCTCAAATCTCTCAGGATCCTTAACTGTTGGAAATGTGTTTCAGAAGAACTTTTGTTTCCAGCTGACTGACTGGTTACTCTACAGCTTCTTAGTGTTAACATGTAACTTAGCTAGTGTCAAACAGGACGTAACTTAACAAGAGCACACATGCTCAGAAAATCTGCCAAACAACACAACTCACAGGTTTCGTTACAATGGCGTCATGGGAGACAGAACTGCAGCGGGTTTTTACTGTTGTCTCTTACCTTGACACCATGAATAAGCCCATTCATCAGGAATGTGTGTTGAGGGAATGTTTGGTGTAATACCTGGAAAACAAACACAGATAAAAAGCACATGAAACCCTTTATCCACAGAGTCTGCATTATGTTTCCAACTGTGACCCACACTGGTTGTGTACTTTTAAAGGTTAAACAACTGTGAGGGAGCTGAGCAAAAATCTACTAATCTTACAAATGACAGAGGTTAGAAATTGAGAAATAAAACAATAGATTCTATCACTAAAGGCCGAAGACAGAAAACTAGAATTTTTACTGAGATGAAGAAATACAAATATTGGAATTTTTTTTCACAGGGCTTTGACCCACATGTTTAGAACTGGCACGTAAACTGAGTTACATGGTACAATCACACTGGACATAAACAAAACATTCCCACACTGCTGACCTGAATGTTGTATCACAGATCTGCAGGTTTCTATTTTTGGTGTACTGCTTCCTTCTAGCCAATCACAGCTTGAACATTTTCATGCCTTATACATTTAGTGAAAACAATTGTGAAACAGTCAGCAGGAGTGGAGCCATAGAGACTAGAATGAGTTACAGCCTTGTTCAGCACATTAGGAAGTGGCGGTTAAGACCTGGGTATTATCACATCAGACCCCACTTTTTTCAGAATGTCACAATATAAATACATCTTCTAACATTAAAACTTTTGTTATGAGGCAATATATCACTGCAGACTTAGAACCTCTCAGAGAGCCATGCTTAAACGTCACAAAGGCTAGACACCCTTCACATTCTATTTCTTTAAAATATTCACATTTTTTTATTTTGGAAACTGCTATTTGGAAATAGATTTACAGCAAAAATATTAAAGAGTAAATTAATTATAATGCTTTTATTAGAAAAATGTCAAAATAACATTTAAATTTTTTTCCCCCATTGGCGAACATGTTTAGTTTACTGATGCTGTTCCACAAGCAGAAACCTCAATGGTTAAGTTTTTCAGTATATTTACAGCCAGACATGACATTCCTACATTATTTTAACTTTGTGGCAATACATAGGGGACAGTTTGTTTAGATGGTTAAAAATCTATGGGACGTTCAGTTCAAAGTCCATATTGTCAGTGTGCACTGTGCAGCAAGTATTGCATATAAGTGTCATTGACACTTGCGTGGGGACATGAAGCCTTTCATTTAATTCAGGACGGGGTCTGGTTATTGTTCAGTGGTAAAGAGGGAAAGCTCATGGCATGGCTGAGAATCCCCTCTTTTCCTTTGGGAGTCAGTTGCACACACACACACACACACACAGTGAATGCTCAGTGAAGACTGTTGCTGCTGGATACTAATGAAGCCGTGTGCTCACTGGGAGCAGTCCCTCTCATTTTCAGGCACCTTCTGATTAGTCCAAAATGCAAATCCTGCCCCCGCCCGGGGATCTCGAGGGCAAGAAACCCCAAGTAACGCGCGCACGCACACATACACACACACACACACACAAACACACAAATATGCATTACATAAGCCTGTCTGGTCCACATCATGTGTCTCACAGATGTTTGCTCATCATTTGTTTGATATACAAATTTCAACAAAGTAATTTTGCTTGTTCATAAAAACAGGCATATCAAAGAAAATGGATGGGAATTCTAGAAATACAGGGTTTGGCTAAATACTGGAAAGCTGAAAATTACCAATAAACTATTCCTCGCTGGTATGAAATAAAACATATCCTCCTTAAGTAATTTTTTACATCACAAACAAAACATGTTGTTTAGTGGAAGCAATCACCTGTGTTTTTAAAAAAAATATCAACTGATTATTATCTGATAGAAGCAGTTTCTTTAAGAACAGGTCACATTTTGGACAAAAAAAAACCCTCTGAAAAATACTGTTGGGAGATTCCTGTAGCAAATACTTGAACCCCACCACTCTGCAGAGCACTGAGGTGAATGTGTCGCGTGGTTTGCCTGGCATCTGTGCAGTGGCCTGACACCACAAACCAGTGACCCCCGTGATAAGCCTTTTCAACAAAGAACTGGTGCTTAGACAATAAAACTGTTTGATGCCCTTTTCATATTTCTCTGTCCATTAGAGCCTGGCAAAACATCTGCCAGCACACACGACCAAAAAAACAAAACCATGTCACCCAGGACGTCGCTCATTTGATTGGGTATTCAATTATTCATAGACACTGATTGGTCTTGACTGATTCAATAGGAAATGTCACTCGTTGGCTAGGATGTAGGCATATGAATATATATCAAACTTTTATGTCAATTTAGAAAACGGTGTGTCTACGTGAAAGCAGGTGCAGCTTACCGTGAGCATTGGGGTGGTGAGGAGACCCCATGCAAAAAACTCCAGGAAGATGACCACCACGGCATGGTAAACACTGGGCTCACCGATTCCCTGAGGCTGGGTGGAGACAGACAGACACACACACAAAGGGGTTTAGCTGACAAGCATCAAAACAACAACATGCATCAAAGAGGCTGTTAGTGTTGGCACATTAACCTCAAACTGGGATCTATTTCAAGATGCTTCATGAATCTGTACATCAGCTGGCTGATCCTATGGAACAACCCAAGAGCGTGTAATGAAGTTGTGAAATACATTTTTCTTTTACTCTGAACCTTTAGAAGTAGTATCTGTACTGAGGGAAATGCTGATTAGAAATTACTCTATTACTTATTCTGACCTCTGTCGCATTATGATGACATGAATACCTTTTAAATTGCATTGCAATGTTCTATTTGGAGTTTTCAGTCTTTTAGGTCACCAACAAAGCAGTTACCACCTTGCTTGACAACACGCTTTGGTTGTCAACAAGATGGAAGATGCTCATTTCTTAACACCGGCTTAAGGGAAATTTTTTGACAAGGGAATTTACCTTATTTCTGAGATGTTAGAATCAGACTGGCTGCCATTTCACTCAGTTTAGTTTATAATATATAATATTACAATTCTATTTGAATGGCTGTATACATTTTACACATGATCTGCAATTCAGAGGCCTGGAACCAACACAAAGAGATAATGGAAGATGTGGTGTTGTTTTCTGTTGATGATCAGTTATAAGACTTCCTGTCTCCAGCAAACCACCACTGCGAGAGAGACAACATGGACATCAGTTATAACCTTATTCTGAGTATAGATTAAATGCGTTGACTGAGGGTAATTTATAAGGGTATAAACCAGGGAGAAGAGAAAAGTTTCTAGTTTAACCACACGCATGGTTTGTAGTTTCTGCATGTGGGGAGAATGACATAGTCCACAGGAACTCTTGCCCTTTGGTTCCATGATAACTAACTATACAGTCACACCACCTGCTTAATGGAGAAAATGAGGAACCGTGTCTCATCGTATGAATGTTGCAACTTCCTCTCTATTGAATGGACGCCCAGCCACAATATTTCAAAATCGCATTTTGTTATTGACTAGTGAGCGTCTAAGCCTATTAGATGCAATGGCTGGATGTTGATAGTGAAATCTTAATGGCTGAGTGGTCAGAGCAAGCTGAGGTAATACAGTCGAGCAAAAACAATCTGAATTAAGGACCTCGTTGGAGTAGAGCCAGGTGGAGATGCTGACAGACTATCATCAGTGTGACTGGATCATTAGTGTGTGAAAAACACAAGTTTCTTGTTCCATTCACTGTGTTTACAACTTTGTGTGCCTTCATATGGATATCCAGCAGGTTTGGTACAGCTGTCCAACTGGTTACATAAGCAACACTGCCATCTCACTGTATTTATAACAATCCTACCATACTCACTCGCTGCCCACTGCCCAATTTGGGACAATCCTTGCTTCCACCATCTAAATGACCTCTACAATCCTTGCCATAATATTTAGCTGCCTATTTTATCTGTTTATGAAGGAACTCTGACGGATTTAGTCACAGTATGTACTGGTCTCATCGTTGCTGTGTCACAGGTGTCACTGAACCAGAGAAGGGGGTTAAATGTGCCAGGAACAACGGACCCAGGCTGATAATTAACCACACATCAGCACCATCGGGCTGTGAATAACCCAGCACATGCAGTAGTTAAACAACACGTTACATTAAACAGCTGATAGCTCCAGCAGTGACAGTCTGTGTGTTACTTGCCTGGGATGTTGACTTAAAACCAATGTTTGCTTATTTCCAACCAAACCCAGTGTTGAATAAAACGTTGCACATGCACCCACTAACACTGTAGTGCTGTTATTTACAATATGTATCCACGACAGATTATACTACATTACCACGTTTTTACAGTATATTCATCACATAGTCAACAACGGTGTCAATACTTTACTTTGTGTGCTCTTATAGTTTGTATTCAGCCTTTGTTTGTCCCGCAATTTTCCCAGAGTTATGTAAATTAACTGCACCAACACTGTAATTCCCCAAATAAAGAACCATCTATCCAACATATTCAACTAAGGGTCTGTTATCCGACAAGATACGTTGTCTCTCTCACACATTGTAGTATTTGCACAATATTTGCCTCGAACACTGTCAGTTCATCGTACCAGGGCAAAATAAATAAAATAACCCCAATTACCGTTCAACACATATGCTAGCGAGCTAACGTTAACCAAGCTCCTGTTTGTGCCTCGTCGTGCTACACGGACATTTTCAACAGGACCTGAACAAATCCAAAGTGTGGATAATATAAAGTGTTGGTTCAAGTTCGATAAAGTGAGGTGGACGGTGGCTGGATTACTGTGCGAGGGCGGCCGATGGAGAAAAACACAGCTAGCGGTTAGCCGAGGTGACGTGTAAACGACCAGCCAGCGCAGGCCGCTAACATTAACCAATGCTAGTTAACGGCTAGCTGTGTTAGCCGTTTAGCTAGGCGGTCCCAGCTAACGGACCTGCCGGGTACGAACCATCGAACGCCGCCTCACACTTCTGCGTTTTCTCGGAATAAACAGTGCTCGGGACTAACCCCGGCGGTCGACGGCCGGTGCAGCTCAGTGACAAGCTCAGTCAGCGAAGATAAATAAATATTTAACTCACACTTCCTCCATCTTTTATTATAATTTTCTTTGCAAGAAGAATGCTGCGGTTCAGCCGCTTTTTCTTCTTTTTCTCCCCCGTCATTGTTAACTTATGTCCATTCTTGGTTGTCAGCGGGTCTTCGTCGCGCCTGTTGACAGAGAAAAGAACACACCGACTGGGCTACTTAGCTGACAACAGCTCGGCAGCTGGCTCCGGGCAACAGCTAGCAGTTAGCAGCGAGCTAACTGAACGATGATTTCTCATCCCCGCCTCACTTCAACACGACTTCCGCAACCAGACAAGAGCACCCGCCTCTTCAGTGCAACGCCCGTCGGCGATTGGTCGACTGATTGAAGCGCAAACCCCAAACTCCGCGGCTGATTGGCTTAGAGAGAAAGAAGTCGCTGCCGCAGATCCGCCAATGAGGGCTTGTCAACGTCACACCGCGGGTAACAAGAAGGAAACGCCTGACGTGGAGAGTCATGGACAAGTTGTTCCACTTTGTAAACATGTTCATTCACAACTCTGATGTGAGAGAACAACAGCACCGAGGAGGAAGGGAGGTGTTGTCTTCACCCCAGCGTGTGTGTGTGTGGAGAAAACAACTAACATACATGGATAGAGTCTAAACAAACATGGAGGGAATATGACTCGAGAGGATGTCTTAGAATAATCAGTCAAAGGTTAAAGTTTTCCTCACTAACACCCACGAGGCATGTGGTTAGATGATTCGTTAAATTCTAACAGAGAAGGGATGTTCACCGGCTCGCACATGTAAAATGAATCCCTTCTAAAAGCCCATGGAGTTAATAAATAAACCACAAATCTGCCCTGGAAATTCAAATGTTCAATGTCAGAGTCAACTACACAGAAACCCACCTTAAAATAAGTCCAGTTCCTGCATCTAGACCTGCAGACCAAACAATCTGGACAGAGGAAAACTTTATTTGAGAAAAAGCACATAAGAAAAATAAAAGACAAACCTTCCAAGATGGACACTTAATATTTGATCATCTGAGCTAAAAAACAAACCTAACCTCGTCAACCTCCACTAGCGTAACAGAAGTGTAATTAAAAGTTGAAACATGAATATTTTGCATATAAAACAGGATCCAAGAATTTAGAGATGGGCTTTGCTTGACGATTCCGTCAAACAGTAACGATAATACTGTATTTACTGTGCTTAATTGATCTACTTTTCATTAGTGGTGGGAGAGGTAGTCAGATCTGTCATCCAAGATAAAGCAGTGATTCCATACTGTAGAAATAATTATACTAAATGTCAAAGTCATGAATTTTGAATTTGAATGGTAGTACAAAGTAATAGTCCTATTTCGGAAAATAAAGCTTTAAAAAAAATCCCAATAACATACACTCCGTGATCAATTTATTAGGAACACCTGTCTGAAACTAGTGCAGTGTAATAAAGTACAACCTGAATATTATCTAAATAATAGATATATAAATAGAGCTCTGATATTTTATTCAGTTTCTATTTAATTCGATTTTCTATCTATTTCTGCAGTATGTTTTTGTCAGGGTGATACCATGTACTTAAATCCTAATTTCCGACCAGAATATGACATACACTATTGCACAAATTAATAATTCAAGGATAAATTATTAGTTGTAGTTATTATTATCAATACATGGAGTGACACCTCAAATTGGTTAGTGAAATTCAGCTGGTGAAACAAAAGTCAGAATTAGAAGACATTCACCACAATAAACAGAATTCTTAAACCCTTATAAAATGTACATGCATACATATAAAAAAAAATATTAATGTATATTCACTTGCACAGCCTTGGAAAAACAGGAAAATTGACAGAGGGATAGATTTTCAGTCAGTCTGAATGGCAGCATTGTGACCATTTCCTTTGTAGGTTTGTTAATTCAGTGATCACTCACTGCAGTCAGCATAAAGAAAAGCCAAAAAACACAACTGATCAGTTTCAAATGATTCAGCAAGAGCCCAAAATGCAATATCACAGTCTGTACAATGTAGAATCACTTTATGTACAATGGTATTTTTTGGTAGTTATTATTCTTTTCACAAACAACTCCCCCACTCCTTTTTGTACAACAGATGTCAGCTCAGAATATGGTCTGTTAGTAAAGGAGGTACTTGAATCCTAAACTGCTCCTCGTCCTGTTCCTCTATTCTTCTCTACAGATGTTGCAGAGCTCCAAGGAAGTCGTCCAAAATACCAAACTTTTCTAAAATATGTCCTGTACACTTCTGAAATATGTCGGAAAATTCACATACAGCGATACGCAGAGATACAGAGTGAGTCACTGCTGATAGTTCTTCTTCGGATCTGTGATTAAAATCCCTGAAGGAACTGTCTGTATGATTTCTCCATTAAATACAAATAAGTTCTCAAAGCACTTTGTCTCCATAGCAGCACTGACAAATGAAAAGTCTATAAAACAAAGTGCACATCTTCTGTTAGCTTGAGAAAATCTAAATTATATTAACAACTTGGGGATGTTGCGCTCAAGTAAGATCCTCATCTTCATCAATGTAAGGGATGTCTTGGTCGTCAAAGCTCCCGTTGAATGTTTCGACCTGGTGCTTGTCGGTGGTGGAGGGGTTGTCTGGGCTGGGCAGGAAGCACATGGACTGAGTAAAACCTGTCGTCTGTCCCGGTGTGAACTCTCTGGGTTGATCGTTTGTCTGAGCCATCAGACTCCTGACTCTCTGCGCCAGGTCAGGAGGTTTTTCCGGGCATTCGGGTTTCTGCGTTTTCGATCGCATGGTCACCTTTCCTGGTGGTGGCAACGTCAAAATAGTCAGCATTGTTTGGGTCTAAGGAAATTAGTTTACTGTCACATCAGAACTACAAAAGTAGAAAAAACTACTTTTACACAATAAATATATAAAGACATGCAATTTTAATAGAAAGTAGAAATATATCAAAAAAATAAAATGTAGCAGAATGATGGCAAGAATATACACACCAAAAAAAAAAGCTGTGCAGCTGTGAGTGGTGAGTGACTGGTGGGGAATGATAACTATGTGTTAAATGGTGGTGGGTGTGTCTGCTGATGTAGAGTGTGGGTGTTGTTGTAGCTCTTCTGTCAGTGTGAGCGACACAGTGTGTACAACCACAAGTTCATGTGCGGATTTGGCTGTGTAGCCTATTTAGGGAATCAGAGAACAAATGGAACTATGGATGGAGCCAGTTTTTCTAATTATAAAAGGGATTCTGTAGCCATGAAGAGAATAAAGAGCAGCCAAACATCTGCTCTCCTGCAACATAAGTGCTCACGTATACACACGAGGGGTTAGGGTTTGGCTTCACTTCTGGGGTCCTTTCATATTGCTCATCTTTACATTCAGCCTCTGGCGCACACTCTTTGGATAATCTTTCCTGGACAGATTCATATTGTTGCACTGGTTTGTAAATACAGTAAGTGAAATAACGGAGAAAAAATCTGAGTTTGAGGGAAAGACAGCTTCACAATCATGCCCATTTTTTTGGCCATGTATCACGAATTATGAGAGCGAGGCAGGAGTTTTTCTAATTTTTAACTACTTGCTTCATATGTGTGCAGATACAACGCAATGACTGCCTTGAGAAACAAAGTGTGGGCCTTTCATTTGTATGACTCATTGATTGAGACCTCAGGAACACATCTTGTGCTTTGCAGGAAGGCTTTTGTCCTCCTGAGTGTGGCCATTATGAGCAGGAATAAACATTTTTTTGCCATTAGATGTGACTGGACTGTAAGAGTTTTCCTTTCAAATATTCTGAAGTGTTTCTGTCTGGATCTTCTGTCTACATGCACGGTGACAGGAGCTGCAATCATGATGAAATAACGTACAACTATGTATTTAGTGGCGAGGGCAGAAAAAAACAAAACCCTTCTAAAACCCAGAGGAAGGTGAAAATACCTTACCTCCCTACTGACCTTCAGATTCCAGGCTCCCCAGACGATCTTCTAGGCTCTCGGAGCTCATTGATGACGAAGAGTCCAGGTTGTCGTTGTCGGAGTTCTCCTGCTCCAGGTCTGGTAACCTGCAGGCCAAGTCCACCCTGGAAAAGACAACACAAGATATTATTATAATTCAAACTCTTATGAAACTATAATGAAAAAAACCAGCTGCGTCTCACTTTTCTTGTTTGATGGACTTGATCCTTTCGATGAGAGTCTTCTCTGTTTCATCAGCGTCGATTTCCTCTGGAACGTTCAGCACTGAAGGTTGTTCAACGACCTGCACATGGATCAGATTAGTGATTGTTGCAAACTGCTAAATGGAGACGCTGGCTCCACTAACATGTATTCCTCAAGTAAGCCACATTCAACTGATCTAAGACCTATAGATTCATGTGGAATAGTTGCTTTCATCTTTAAATTTATATAACAACATGTCTCAGATACAAGCAAGTTATTTTTTTTGTTTAAAATGAACTTTTAACATTTGGTGACACCGGCTGACTCCTCCTAATCAGGAAAACCTTTGACTGTGAACAGTTTTAAGTTTGTGTGCTCACAGCTGGCATCAAAACGCTTCCTGACTGTGTCTCCTGTTACCACTCATGATCTGATCCCTGTTCCCAGCTCTCATGCAAATAATCCTGACGTAATTTATGAAGATCAAATAATGTTGTCTTTACCCAGTCTGAGTAAACAGATGTGTCTGATGTCCTTGTGTGTGTGTGTGTGTGTGTGTGTGTGTGAGTTTATATAATGTGGTGTTGACCACAAACAAAAAAGCATAACAATACGTTTGATTAAATAAACCTTAGCTGGTAAAAGGAAGCTGAGTAGGCGGTTCTTCATATGTGGCCCAGGACGCAGTTGCACACACCCAAAACAATGCGGCCTCACTAATCCCCCTCTGAACGTAGGTGGAGGTCACATATGGTTACGTTCAGACTTGTACTTAGCACCTCATAGTCTTAAAAACGGATCTTGCATTGTCCTCTCACCGTGTTCTGCCTCTTCAGTTTGAGCTGATTCACAGCCAGGGCCTCGGCATATTCCAGCTCCTGGATATTCTGCATCTTCTCATTGTAGCGTCTGAACTGCTCAGAGATCAGCGTCTCCACACACCTGCAGACAACAGAGCACCATAAATCAAAATCCATCTCTGGAAATACAGACAGTACAGTATATTGAACAAACCGTGCTGTAAAGCTGGGCTGCAGCAGCGGACATTAAAAATAAGAGGGATGTGCAGCATGCTGACTCACGTTGTAGTCTTCGAGACATCCTTCATACCGAGGAAGGGGTCATCAGCGTCAGGAGAGCGCAGGATGCACGGGGCAAACACAATAGCCAGAGAGCTTGTTGTCATTTTGTTGTGCTCTTCTTCCTTTGCAACCCTAAAAGACACACATGTTAAGATCTCACTTTTAACACAAGTTAACACAAAATACCCAAACACACAAAAAACCCTCCAACCTGACGAGGTGAAAGATGAGCCGCTCTAATGTGTTGTAATTAGCAGGAGGAAGTTCATCAACCTTCTGGTACACCGCCCTGATTCTGTCAGCTTTCTCAGGCAGCTCTGAACGTGGAAAAAATGGAGATTAAACATTTTTACTTGTCAGAACAATATCAGACATTTTCATAATTTTATATGTCATATTAAAGAAGCAGACCAGGAATGTATTTAAGGAAAATGAAAAACAAGGACGTACGTTGTAATGGGACCCTTCAAGGTTTATTTTTGAAAATAAAAATATATATTTTATCAATATTTTCTCACCTGCAGCATGAAGAAAGTCACTGTAGAGGGCAAAGGTCAAGAGGGGATCAGGTAGCTCTCTGAGCCATCGTTTAAGCAGACCTGTGATGGTGTGGATGGGGTAGTTCTCTAAACATGCTGACTCAGGATCTGAAGAAACAAGACAGAAAACGCAGACAAAAAAAAGGTTATTTCTTAGTAAATGTTGTTTAGTGGCAAATGATGTGATTGTGGATTTTTTTTAACCATCATAATGATAGAAGTATTGAGTTTAAATATATTTAAATTGTTGTATGTTTTACGTTATTTACTCTAAAAGACTTTAATTTAAAGTTGAACAACAGAAATATAAATAAGAAAACAAACAAACTAACAGAGAGAAAAAAGCTAAAGAAAACAGAATATATGAGATAAAGAGGGAGAAGGAAACCTGTCATAATGGTAGATATTTTGATGAGTCACGTCGATAAATAATAACACTAACCCATGTCACGTGGAACTTGAACCTGCTTAGTCGACTTTAACTGAAGTTTGAAATTTCTTACTGGTCTCCAGAATCTGGTGAAGCTCCCTCGCACGACAGGCTGAGCCCGACTTGCGGTAAATGCCCTCGGTGTAGAGGCCGTTTATCTCCACGTGCAACAGCAGCATTTCCACCACCTTGGGCACAGGGTTGGCTTTACTGGTGAGGACACAGACCTGCACCCCAAAGTGAAGGGAGCCTGGTAAACTGTCATCCTGTCGCACGCAAAGAGAAAATAAGTTAACACGAGGGATTCAGTCGTGAGAAAGCGACGTCAGGAAATATCCAAAACTTCCACTCTTACCTGTCTGGCACGCCGTGTTGAGCAATCTGTGATGATTTTGTTCAAGCATTTCTTGTGACATATTAATTTGCAGGCTATAATAAAAACAGAAGAACAAAAGATGAATTTTCTAAGTCTCATAAACATTTTGTGACTTTGTGTTTGTTTAGTATGTTTATTGCTTTTCAAACGCACCACTGCACATGTAGGCTTTCTCCATCCCCCAGATGTACGAGCCACACAAGTCACATGACTGCATAATGTTCACCTGGTAGGTGCTGAACAGGTGATCCAGAGGACTGTCGAGCTGTAGACGCAGGGCGACACACACAGAAAATACACACAGATTATTTACTGCAACTAGATTCACATTGAGAAAACTCAACGGTGCAGATAACGATATCAAACTTACACATTTGTCCTTTTTCCGCCTCTTCTTTGTCACTTTAGTAGCCTGAGAGAGTGAGAAATATATTCAGTTTATACTGTCACAAAGGTTCAGAGGGTGATGATCATCTTAAATTCTCACATTTACCTTCGATGGTTCGGACTCGATTCGTTTCCTTTCGCCCCTGATGAAGCCGTCGAGCATGGACTGGAACAGGTTGACCACCAGGGAGACTTCTGCCTTCTCAGTGGGCCGAGCCAGTGTGTTCACCTTGTTGTGGTAACCTCTCATCAGGTCTTTGTAGGCAATCTGGGGCTTCTGTTGGTCACATAGTGCACATTAAAACAGTTAGTCAGGATTTTACCTTCAATCCCATTTCAATCACTGTTTGTGAGACATTTACATTTTTTATTGTGTGATGCTAAAATCAAAAGGGGAGAATAAAACTGTTTGAGTTTTAAGTTGCTCGTTCACATGGAGAAAAGAAATGGACTCACCTCGACAGAGTACATGCCTTTGATGGTCTCTCTGAACTGCATGGTGGCTGAGAGGAAGATGTTCTCTGTTGGCGACAGCTCTTTTATCCTTGTTCGGAGATCATTTACCTGATGACAGAGGTGAGGAAGTGATGAAGATGAGCAACACAGAGTTAATCAAAAACATATAAATCATTGATCACCTGACACAACTGATCTGCACATTTATATGAGTTCACAATCTGCTCTGCTTCTCTTTTCCTCCCGGGTCTCACCTGGTTTCCGAGGAACTCATCCAGGTGTCGTAGCTCCTTGGTGTCCCTGATCTCTCGGTCCAGAGACGTGTTCCACTCGATCGCCCGTGTGGCGCGGCTGATTCGAATGGTGGGGTTTCGATTGAGCCTCCCACTCTGCTGGACCGGCGTGTGGTAGGGATGTGGAGTGTAGCTGGGCAGGGTGACTGGAGGTGACACGAGGAGAGATGTTTTCAATCAAACACTGAATTAATCTGTATCTGGAGAGATTATCTCTTCAGTCTCAAAGACATTAAAGAGAAATGACATGAAAACTCTCCCCAGTCTGACAGCATTTCTTTATGGCAAATAACCTCCAGATGGCAGTAGACAGAAGTGTGGAAATATCCCATTCAAATGTTTGTAGTACTTGTACAGTGTATTTAAAGTACAGAGTATGTGTGTATTTAAAATATCTGCACTGCACAAGTAGAAAGAATAAAACTTCTGCTTTGAGTTACCGGTTTTATCTGAAGGAGAGTCACTGCTCACTGGGGAAAGTTTTGGTGCCCGTTTCCTGAGGAATCTGCTGAGAAACCAAATCCTATAGAAAAGACAATTTGTGTTACTTCCATGCAGGGATTATATTCACGAGTTTTAATAAACAAAAAGCTTGGTTCTAAAAACTAAAGCCCCTAAATAATGTCTGTATTCTTCATTTTTACTTCTCAGGAGTTGTGAGGTGTGATTGGTTTGACCCATGTTGTCCTGAGTTCTCATTGCTCGTCCTGGGCGGGAGGCTGAACCTCGACCCATCAGGCTCAGCTGAAATCTGCAAACGTATTAAAACGTGAACATACTTCAAACTGGCGTGTGACCAACTTAGCAAGACAAAACAAATATCAAGTTTCAGAATGAGTCCTTTCCCCCCCCCACCATGTTCACCTGCAGGGACAGATCGCACCCAACTCATCCAAAACGCAGCCCACAGCTCCTCCACCAACAAATCCCACACACCCGTAAACAAGATAAAATATTAGCACAGGAGCTTTAGTCCTTCACCAGTTTTATTTCTCATGCAAGGGAAAACGATCTCCTGCTGCCACCTCGACTTTAACCTTGTTCGTTTCAATTAGTATATTCAAAATTAGTTTTTAATAAACCTGTCATTATTTCCATTAACGCCAGGTTAGTAACTTAAAAGACAAATTAACAGATTCATATTCCAATGTATTAATAATTTGATGTAATTCACTCAAAAAAGTATGATTTTTATTAGTAATTCAAAATATGCCAGTGAAGATTACATTTTTTATAGTGAGGATTTTTGAACATTGGTTCATTTAATGCTTGATCCATATATAGATTCAGATCAAACCAGGTTACCATGGGTAAGTTCTGGTGAGCATGGACATAAGACACAATCACAATAAGCCTGTATGAAGCAATAACCTGGAACTGCTGAAGCCACTGTGAACAAACCCCTGACTTAACTGCGAAGCAAAACAAGTCACTGTATTCTGTAACGCCGACTCAAAAGATGAGCAATGAGCTGTGGAAATGGGTTTTCATATATTTCCTTTCTCTTTGGAAGCAACAGCTCATTTTCTATTGCGATGAATTGCAGAGAAGAAAATGCAAAGTTCCACGAGAACGAAACCTCCGATCTGTTCGGGACATAGACATGCGAGGCCTGCATGCAGAGAAGCATCATCGTAGATCAACACGTCCCTTTGGTCAGTACCTTGACCTGGGATTTGAGGGCCCGGACATCCATGCTACTGACCGAGCTCTTCAAGGTGTGCACGTGGGGGCTCATGGGAGGCAGCGGAAAGCTCCAGTATTCACTCTCCTTGGAGCCCGCAAAGTTAATCATCAAACCGCTGCGGGCGTAGGCTAAGCGCCGTTTGCGTTTGGGCAGCTTTCGGAGGCGTACCCGGCCCTAATTGGGTCAGGAAAGGTGGTAAGGCAGAGTCTGGGAGGCCTCGGACTCATGCGTACGGAGCCTGCATGCTTTTCTGATCTTAACACAAGTTTACAGTGCACACGACTACAGCACCTCAACATCTATTGTTGTGAAGGGAAAACAACAACAACCATGCTTTTAATTACATTTGGATGGTGTAAGAAAAACAAGGGAACGTAAAGGTTACCTCATTGGTGGAAGGTGAACTATCAGAGCCCGATGAGCTGATCTTTGACAGTTCATCGACAGACATGGATTTTCCTTTTCGGCTGTTTTACAGAAAGAAACCAGAGCAAAGCTGTGGATTACTGTGGAACTAATACACGTTACTGCAATTCAATAATCTTATCATGAGACAGAGGCTATACACAGAGTAATAGAGCTTCTACTTACTAATAGTCATCTTTCCTATTGTCTTTTCGTCTGTATATTTCTGGACTCGACTCATCCGTCGGTTCGCCCTCACTCTTTCTTTCCTTCCACTTCTCGGCCTTTTCCTTGAAACCCTCCATGTCTGTGTAGCGCTGAAGCGAGCTGCTGTTCGAGGGGCTGGGGGAGCGATCCTCACTGTCAACTTTAGGGTCCAGAGGTAAGGAGAGGGGTCTGTTGAGAAGTGGCGGGGATCCTCTGCCCTCTCGTTTCTCCCTGCTCTGGTCCCTCTGTGCAGTCTGGCTGTTGACGGGGTCGGGCCTCTGGGTCCTGTTGGGGCTCAGCTCCACTTTATGCTGCCTCTTTAACTCTTTTTTTGTCAAGCTGTTGAGTAAGAACCATTGTATTAGACTGCCATTGCAGTAACTGTATTCGTAATACAAATTATTTAAATTGTGTTTTTAATTGCGTTCATACGGTGCTTCTCAGTCTTTGAACACTATTCTTCCTTTTTGCACACATGCCCCCGAACACAATGTTGATCTGAAGAGAGATTTAAAATCTATGGAATCGGTGAAATTTGCAAGTTCTGAGTAAAAGCCTGCAATAACGCAAAGATTTTATATATTACTTATGTGAATTTAAATTAAAACCTTATTTTCACGTTAGAACATTCAGCCAAACTGTGAATGGAAATGCAGATGGCGTATCTGCTGCACAATAACACAACACACCTGTCATGCCGTGTTAACACATTTGACTTCATATTTATACTTTAAATCATCACACAGTTTATCTTTCAACCTGATTAAATACAGGTTATGTGTTCTAAAATAACACAGTTGTCATTTTACATCAAAGTAAGTTAAACCTTTTATTTCGGTGTTATATTTATTCAGCAGTGTAGGTGGGATGTTACAGTGGTATATGTACCTGTCCCTTCCAAGTCGAGTGTTAGACGTCGTCTTCTCGTCCTGCTGATTTGACCTCTTCAGGGAAGTCCTCCACGCCGTCTGGATCACTGTCGCAGCTTGATTTTGATTCTCATAAAACTCACGCCAGCTCCTCTGAAACAACAGGAATCTTCTGTCAACAGAGTTGAGTTGAAGTTCTCACAACAGTTTGATGTCAGAACATGTAGTTTGTTCTTTATTAACCTTTCACTTTTCAAAATGAGAAGCCAATGGCATTGTGACAGCTTTAAATGATTAAGCGTCACGTATGAGTGAATTGTTACTGTGTCACGATATCAACAACGTCCTTGGTACAATGTGATGGGAGGAGCGTTGTTGTCTAACAGTCCCCATAAGGAGATTTCTCAAAGTTCTGCACCTGTATAAGGACTGTGGCATCTTTCTTTTGCAGAAAGTGCCGTCTTATGAGACAGGCACGGAACCAGCGCTGCAGTATGATGATGCGACGCATCACCTCTTTGTTGTGTTTGTCTTGGAGCAGCTGCCTCTCCTTTTCCTTGAGGAAAACCTGAGTAGATGAAAGGGAGGCATAGAAAGTGTGAGTGTAAGAGCAAAGCACAGAGAATAGTTGAACTGTGCAGTCAGTTTAACATCTACGTTCATTCATTATTGTTTGTATTACTTTGTATTAACCATCAAATGAAACAGTTTGATGATGACGTCTAATTTTTGTAAAATTAAAAATCTAAAACCCATTACAGTTACCGTGGAAACGCTACTTTACCTTCTGGGTCACTGTAATACACAGGAACATGCAGGGTTAATATTCGTGATAAAATAGTAATGATTTGATTAACCTTGGTCTTTCCTATTTGGTAAGTGGACGTGTCCAGCTTCATCCTCTCAAACAGCTCAGTTATGTGCTCTGGAGCTCCACTTGCTCCTTTTGGGAATAACATCCTGAACTTCTCCACAAATTCCTGTTATCAACAGAAGAACAGTATCATCATTGTACTATTTGTGTTTTTGAAGTTCCTTAAACTCTATAAATATCTAGTGTATATCTGTATATTTATGTACTTTTCTTCTTACCATGAATGTGTATTTAGCGCTGTAGACAGTCTTCTGGATGTGAATCATCTGCAGCATGTCTGTGTACCTGATTTGCTGCAGCACCAGTTCATCATCAAAGTGCAGCTCCTTCTGTGGAACAAAAAAGCGAAACATGCTACGATATTAAAATATGACACTGAGTGTGATCCGGATGAATTTAAAGATTCATGACGTTACTTTACCTTTTCAGCATTGGAGCGAAGACAGAAAATGAAGAAATGCTCAGCTTTCCCAATCGTCTCCATCAGCTTTCTGAGCGAAGCCTGAGAGATTCATTAGATGCAGTGAGTATGGAGGTGCGGCCTTTGCTTATTAGGAATCAGCTGATACACAGTTCTGATCATTTTGGGTTAATATAATAACTTAAACTTATCCTAACCACACATGATTTAAATTGGGTAACAACAGTCAGCAAAGTTACGTAGAGAAGAAGAAGATGACGCACCTGAAGCTGAGCACTGACTGTGGGCGGCCTCGCTCTCTGGTGAGGGTGGAAGATGGATTTGCTGGTTCGGTCGTGTGCAGTGAGACCAACAATATGTTGGAGTGACCGCAAATCCATGAGTTTCTGTTTGAGAAGACACAAGTAAGATACAACTGACAGCTAATAACAAACTCTTGTGACGACAAACATCTTACAAGCACTTTACCTTTGGAATGAGCTGCTTCTGTCGACCTCCTCTACTCTTCCTGCAGACAACACACATGAAATGAGTCTCCAGACAAAAAACAGGAAAGACTGTAGCTGCTAACAAAAGAATTTCAACTTTAGTTTTAACGACATGCACGTGGCTGACTTACTTTCTCATTTCATAACTGGTGAAGATGTCTTCAAATACGTCAAGAGGATGTTCATCAGAGCGATCGAAGGAGAAATCCAGAGTGAGGCTGGTGCTGTGAATGTTAAACATTTTTATTTTTGAGTGGCATCTTTGCATTTTGACAAGTATATATTTGAACAGGATTTCATTCATGGTGAACCACACGTTGTTTCCTCTGGATCACTCTTTAAATATTGTAAAGACAGATAAATACAAATGAATATCCTCTGAGTTTATAACCATGATTTCAGATCACTGACTTTCCTCATACAGACTCTGACAGGGAGAAAAATGCACTTGCAACTTGATCTTTCCTCAATAAATAAAGCTGACCAACAAAAAATACACAAGAAATGACTGAATTATATTTAAATGCAGTATTTGTGCCTGTTTTGTCATCAGACCTGGATGGTTGATGGATACAATTGCTAAATGTAGTAGAAAGTTCTCGCCTGATTCAATAAAAGTGTTCAAGTGTTGTGAGTTCACCTGGATAGTCGGTCCACGGGACTGCTGCGCTGTTTGATTGCTCTGAGGGATTTGTAGGAGGTTCTTCTGGCTGCTGTGGTGACAATAGGATCTGTTTTAAAAAATCATCAGAACATTGATCAGAAGAAAAAGAAAAACATGTTGATGGTGTCTCTCGGAAATATTCTTCTGCACGAACATGTCGTTACAGAGGAACAAAAGCACCTCCACGGTCAAGTCAACACTTTTCAGTCTAACACTAAGTGAGTTATGCAGCTGCTGGTTCCAGGTAAAAATGTGGCTCAACTAGCAGCTTAAGCCACCTACCCTGTTCTGCCCGCTGGCGTCCCAAGTTTCTGAACACTGAGAGGATTCGAATGGTGGCTCGGAGGACGCCCCATCTGAACAGCGCCTCTGGGCTGGATGCAACCAGGTGATGCAGGAACGACCGCTCACTGCTGCGGAGCAGAGACACGACTTCAGGACGCATGTGCTCCGAGTTTTTCTCTCTGAAGTCCTGAAAAATAAAAACAATCATGATTCAAACTTCTACTCTTGCTCTAGAAGTCGGAGAATCTGTGAGGGGTTCACATTCATTACATGTGAGGAGGGAGCTGCGTTAATCATTCACTTAGTTCACATATTTTCAGGGTTTTCCCACACTGCTTTATCTGACAAGGCCACAACAGATCAACACCCTTTACAGTGGAACGATGGAAAGTACTGAGTTTCAAATGTGGCTGGAGATTTTTAATTCACACAGATGAATATGGATGTTCACAAAGTGGGAATGATACCCCACCTTGATGTGATATTCAACAGTCCCCGCAAAGTGTCGGATGCCAAAAGTCAGCGTTTTGTTTGGACTAGGTACAAAACTGGAGTTGTTGCGATGCTGCTGCTTCAGCTGGTCCATCAAGGTTTCATCTGTGGCCTCAGGGAGGCTGAAGAAACACAGAGAGGACGAAATATCCAGTTCACATGTGAAACATGAGACAGAATATATGTACATATATTTAGATTATCATTCAATTGCTAACCAAGTCACATTCTCACCACAGAAAACATGTGTTCATGATAACTCTTGACTCATCTACCCTGTTATGCTTTGTTTGGAAAACTAGTTATGATTAAAATTATTATTATTTATCATTTTTATCATTTTAATTATTTAATTTACAGCTATTCCTCCTGTTGATATCTGTAAGTGGAGGTTAATTGGTTTTAGACAACCGGCCATTGACAATATAGTAAAACACATCTGTACTAATTCACAATACATTTACCAACATTCCCCCCGTTAGTCTAAGTGATCATGTGCAAGATTACACAGGCTTTGGTCCCTGATTTCATTAACCCATGTAATGTAACCACCAAGTGTATTAATCTGAGAAATGAAGTTAGTGGAAATGTCACCGGTGAAGTTCACTCACTCGTCGTCGTCGTCGACGTGCAGCAGGTCGAAGATTCCGGTGGATTTCTTGCTGATCAGCTGAATACAGTCACTGTTGTCGCTGTAGCCAATGTTCTGCCAAGTGATGCCCTCCGACACGTAATCCTCCTGGAATGAAATGTTATTCACAATCACATGAGTCAATGTAAATTAAGTGACGTAGTGAAACAGTAGTAATGGTCAAACAGCACATACTAGAAATATGAAGAGCAGACAGTTAACATAGGGATGATATATATGTATATATGTAAATACACCTACCTGCTGAAGCTTGAAGATGTTCTTGTTGATGTAATACTGCAGCGTTTCATTTGTGTAGTTGATGCACAGCTGCTCAAAACTGTTTGTCTGGAGGTTCTCGAATCCAAACATGTCCAACACACCGATGGACAAACACTGAAACAACACAGCAGTGGATTTCAATAGCTACTATCAAACCTACACATATATATCATTTCAGTTTCTTTTAGATTTTTATGAAAACATGAAAACTCATGTTTTGGAGAACATTAAACATTTTGGCCTCCCGTGGTGAGTGACTTACGGAGACGGACTCCTCCATGTCTCGTCTATTGAGCATTGCATGGTTGATGTGAAGGACCATCCAGTCAAACAGAGCACTGTACAGAGACTTCGCCATGGAGTCCCGCATTTTGGAGGCCTACACAGAAATTTCAGACAATTAAAAAAAAGCCTTAGATTTAATGCACAATCAGATCAAAATAACAAATACAATGTTTGCAAATCAAACAAAAAAGCCTAAAATATATATATATATTATATTAATTAAAGGTTAACAGGCAGCCCTAATGGTTAATTTAAACTTTATACCTCTTCTAGTGTGTACGGATAATCTATGGTGGCGTCGGGAGTCACGATTCTCCTCTTGGTCAAAGTCTTCACAAGCAGCTCTTTTTTCACCTGGAAACAAATTTAAAACACTGTGATTTCAAAGTGAAACACCAATAAAAATTCAAGATTAAACTTTAACGTAGATAAGAAATCCAGTTGATGATTTAGTGATGTAGGTTTTACTGTTAGAACGCACCTTGAGCAGGACAGACAGTGTTGACAAGACCTCAGCAGGTCCGACCTCCAGCACCTGAGTCTCCTCTGACACGGTGTACGTCACGTTGCCCAGGTGGAGGATGGCAGAGAGCGTGAAAAATATTCTGGAGGGAACAAACAAACACACATTTTGTTTGGCGGCACAACACATCTGGCAGACGCACTGGGGGGCGTTAGTTGTGGCATATTGGGTAAAACCAGGGCTTTTAAGGAGGTTATGTTACTGCCACTGTTCCTTTGCTTGTTTATTAATTGGTTGGTTTGTTTGTCAGCAAGATTATATAAAATTAAATACTTGCCTGAAATACATACAAAGAACTTTTCATTTTCTAAAGACTGAGTGACTTGCTTCATATTCAGATTACGATTCTGCTTATCAACCGATCATTGTTCTCAGACTCTGACATGTACTGTAGACGGACTTTTGTATCTTTTGGTATCTCGTAGATAAACACTTCTGCACTGGATCCCTGTGACAGATCTACAGGTGTCTGCTAAGGTAGGGATGAAAACTATGCTGCTGGTGCTTCAACGTGTGCTCTGTGTCCCAAGGCACTTGAAAACATGCTTGCTGCATTTTTCTCCGACTTCACTTGACAAGCTCTGACCTGTTACTGACAGAAGCAAAGAAAGCAGCGGCTCTCAAACAGGATTTGGCTGAAATTGCACAAGAGTTCACCTTCACGTACAGTTTTTATATTCAAGGTTGGTGCCGCTAAGTGTGAAGTCAAAACTAAACATGGAGAAGCAGCGTTCAGTTTCCATGCTCAACATCTGGGGAACATGGTCCCAGAGAACAACTGCAGGCCCGCTGCAAATCTTAGTTCTTTTTAAATACATTCGGAAAACTGTCCTGTTTGCCTCAGCCTTTTACTAAATCATACAATTACACACTTCTAAAACATTAATTTTTTTTCACCCTGTTATTTCATTCATTTATTTTTTATTCTGTATGAGGTTAAGGTTAAATGTCGCTAGGTCGTGTACAGGGAATATTTCTGTGACTCTTTGCTTTCATCAGTTTTTGCAATAATATTCTTTCGTGAGATTGTCTAAAACCTTCTGACATGTATGCATTCATCCTTGATGAAGTTATATTTGTTATCCAAGCACTTCTAACAAGTTTCCATAGACTCTTTTAATGACCTTTCCAGCGCTTATAGCAACACTGGTCCGTTTGACTCAGCTGTGTTATAAAAACCGTACATACTGTTTCTTGGTGGAGGCCAGGAAGCCAACCATTTCCATGGCTTGATGGAGCCTTTTATACTCCTGCCCAAGTTTCTCCTCATCGTCTATAAGATTGAGGAAGACCTTCGGAATAAACAGAGAGGATATGAAGCGAGAGGCAGGAATATTGAGCATCAATTCATTAAAAACACAATAAACCAGATAAAGATCAAAGTTTTTAGGTTGAGCCATCGTGTTTTTTAGTCCACACCGGACTCAAGTACTCAGAAGACAAAAATAAATATAACTTAATGAATTAGTGCTGCTAAAGTAAAGTATGTTCATTAAAACCTTAGTAAACATGTTGGAGTTTGACATGTTCTGAAAGTGAAAATGGAATAAAATGATTTTGAAGGAAAACAGGAGCACTATCAACCTACCTGAAGTGTTTTACAGTGTTATATGAGGGTTTCAAGATATTATTGTTCTCCATCTAAGAAACATCAACCACTGATCTTCCCCCTTTGACATCATTAAATGACACATCACTGCGTCATGACGCTGTAGAGCTTCTGGATCAAAGTTACCTGCTTGAGGTAGACATAATCCTGCGGCTTTAGCAGATGAAACTCCTCCTGCTCATCTTTGGACGCTCCCACCAGCAGATAGTAGAACACGTGGTAGTTTCTGCAGGTCAGAGGTCACAAAGCACAGATACGGTGAGTCAGGGCTCCTGTTATTTACTCAACATGTCACTGCACACGTGTGTTTTCAGAGTGGTCTGCTATTTACCTTGACCACAGATCAGGGTGCAGGTTCAATGGTGATCATGAATGGACTTATACTTTTCTAGTCTTATACATCATTCAACAGGCTACAGTGCATTCATTATCATATGGCAGTTTTATAGGCAGCCACCGGGGATAGTATCAACAACCTTCTGGTAAGTGGACGACCGGCTCTATCACCTGAGCCTCAGCCGTCCACAAGTGTTGTCAACCATTCCAAGTGCTTTACAGTACAAATTCACCCATTCAGACACATATTCATACAAGGCTTCTATTTGCAGCACTATCACACACTGTCGTCACAGCCATCAGGCACAATGTGGGCTTCAGTATCTCGCCCACGCACGTATCAAGTCACAGCCGCCCTTGTGTGATAGTCTGAGCAAGGTTGGTCTGAGTAGAGATTCATTTCCATGTGCAGATTTTCTATTAAAATGGGAGTTTGGAGTTTTTCACTGAAGATTTGAAATGTCACCTGTCTTCATCATACCTCTCCGTCTTATCTCTGGACACCAGGCGGCACCTTTCGAGTAGGTACTTCTCAATAACTGCCCTGTAAGAGAGACAGACACACAGACACACACACAATTAGGACATGAGAAGGAAACATTAGCTTAACAAATACATTCTCCAAAAATAAACAGTACCACAGATGCCTCGAGGATTCATTAAAAAGGAGCAGAGGAGGTTGTAGAGGAAAATAAAACACGCTGCCTCACCCTCTGATGATGCCGCTCTCCAGGTAGTGGAGCTGGATGAACTTTCCAAAGCGACTGGAGTTGTTATTCTTTGCAGTCTTCGCGTTGCCAAAAGCCTGTTTGAAATATAGTGAGCATAAGTTTCCCCTCAAACAAACAGACACATTTGTCACAGACACTGGCACCAAAACCTAAACACTGCAAATGTCAGCTGTTCTGAGGAGCTATAGTATTATTGCTAGGTAATACAATAAGTACAAGAACAGCGGGAAATAGAAAAATGTTGTAAGAAACCTGAAGATGTAAAAGCCTAAATCAAAAATTATACAAAAGAGTTTTTTTCCATATCTCAATGCTGGTTGCCTGATTTTAACATTTCCAAGAACCTGAATTGAATTTCATTATTTAGTAGGTCAACTTCTTAGGAATTCACCTGCACAAAGACATCATATTTCAGTCCACCTGATTTCCCTTCATAGACTGCAGTGTATTAAAACAATGCAGTCAAACCAGGAGAATCACATCAGGCACATAATGAAGTGACGCAACCATCACATCCTTGAAGCCTCAAAGAACTTCTGAATAAAAACGATGACATGTCAAACTATGAATGTGGCTCCACTTTTAACAATGAACTTGCACCAGCTGCTGAGAATGAACTAGCAGCTGTATAGTCAGCCATCAGAGAACCAGTGTCGAAACTTCAACTGATCATTATTGACTGAATATTATCGAGTTTTTCATCAAATATCAAAACGTCAAACTTCATCTCAAACGCAAGGTACAGAGTTTCTTATGTACAGAGCTTAATTACTGTGAAATCAGAGGAAATAGTCAACAGCATACATCTGTTTGCCTAAAAATGTGTTTGTCTAGTCCAAATTACAGCTCAAATACACTCAACTGATCGTTTCAGCTCAATTATTTTAAATCACAAGCCTTAACTGTTGTTCAGACTAACTAAGATATTTCATTATATCTATTTGAAGTCAGAAAAACCTTGTGATTGTTTCCTTAGCTTTTGATAATCAATAACTATGCTAATCAATAGCTGAAGCCCTCGCACAAACTTGCATGGTTTGTTGTTGTATGACACAGTGGTGACAGTTTCTAAGGTTCACTATCAAAAACACAATAAAGCTCCACCCAGATAACGTCAGTGGGGGAAATAACACATAAGCCTCTGCTGACTTTGGATCAGCTTCTACTTCCCAAGTCAGCCTCCAAACGTATCCTTGCACTTCATTCCTGTGAGAGCTATGCCGGGAGTCGTGTCTCAACCCGCCAGAGTGATGTCTACACAGATGGTGAGACAGGTCTGCATGCTGCACTGATCACACGCACAGGTAAAGCACTGAATCACTGGAAAGTTCCCGTCAAGCTTTGTAAACGCACCAAGGTGAAGGATTTCTCGATCGTGCGTGGATTTCATTTTCAACCAGGTCGATAAAAGATGGGAGATGTAGCAAAATAGGAATGAAAGGAATGTGGAGGAAAAAAAGGAAAGATGGTGGAAGAGAGAGAGAGAGAAACAGGTGTTTGTCAGGTCCCAGTTTAAGGGGTTGCATCGTCTGTACAAGCTTAGAAGAAACACAAACCACAGATCATCACAAAGATTTGCATTTTCACCAGAAATTCACCTTCAGGAAACAAGGAGAATAACCAGTTTCACAATTACTGAGTTTACAGAATGAGCTGTGAGAACAACTTGCAAAGTATTCATTTTAAAACTGATTAAATGAGTTACAGCGCCCAATATGAAGCTGATTCCAGCTCCTCATCATTAAATATCTTAAGAGCTGTCAAACAAAACATCAAATCACCATAGACCATTGTTGATTTATATCTTTAAGACAATTCATTCATGGACAGAAGAAATAATCTTGTAATAATCTATAAACTTATAATAACATTTTGACTGTAACCCCTTTAACCCATAATATCAAAACCATAACCGAACACAACAAGATTCAAACCTATACTTTGGTTCATGTTTGAAGTGATGAAGGTCGTATATTCTTGTGTCCATGGACGTTTTTTGTTTTTGCCAAGAGTTGTCTTGTCTTTCCTGTCAAAGGCCTTTTCCCCAATGTCACTAAACACGAAACACATCAGAAGAGTTCCTGTCCAGAATCACGCACAGGATTCACTGAAATGACCAAAATAGCATTTGCTTCATTTCAGAAACCGTTAACTTCCACCATACGCTACTCCACAGTAAAACTCAGTTACATCATTTTATTCTATTTCTCGTTTTTTTCTGTCATAACAATGAACTTTGCTTTGAGCTGGGAATAGTCCAGTGTTATTCCTGTTTGCGTAAACTTACAAAGCACAGATCATCCTCTGAATCACGATATGATGGATAAAGATAGAGATTAAAAAAAGCAATGCACCAGGCAGAAAGTGATACCGTCCAAACACGTTATATTATTTTATCGACAGAAGTATAACAGCTCACATGGACAAGCAGGGGCTCATTGGATAGAACTGATTTCCCAGTTTAATAGGAATAAACGACATATTTCTACAGCTCAAACCTTCGGGGAGTTGATATCTGGAAGCGTAAACACTTCCATGGAGTCTTATGATACACATATTTAGTTTGGAAGATAATGGGGTCCAAAACTCAAGGTTGGGACTAGTTCCTGATGATCTATCAATTAACGTCCTCAACACAACTGAAGAATATGGCGCTCATTAAATTTACTCTGCCAAGGCCAAACAAAACAGTGAAACCATATAATACTGAAGAAAGTGAAAACATACTGCATCCTTCCACCAGGTTTCATGGAGAGCGGTTCAGTCGTTTTTGCATGAGCCTGCTAACAAACAAATGCTGATGAAAGCATAACCTCCTCTGTGGAGGTAACAACTGATGCAAATGCAGCATAGTGGATTGTGGGACACAGGAGGATGCAAAGGATCCACTAGTGTTGTCCAACAAAAATAAAATATTTAAAATGTGTAAATCTGGTCAAAATGGGAAAAAGGGGGTGAATGTGCTCTTGAAATGAAAAGCTAGGAAGAATTTGAGATCCCTGGATTGACACACAGCTGGAGGAAAGCGAGAAGAGAGGGAGAAAAGGTGCTTTTGTGAGAATGGGTATTAGGCGAGAGAGAGAGAGAGGAGGTGATTTCTGCTTTGTTGTGTAGGTTTTCCAGCAGACTGGCTGAGCCTGTTCTGACACGTTCCCATTTCTTTTCTCTCTCTGGTGCTCCCTAGAAGACAACGCCCTGCACATTCCCCCTGTGGAGCACAGGAACCAACCTCCAGCAACCAGCGTACTAATCGAGAGCAAGGAGTCATCCCTTCATAGCAATTTAACAGCAATTTTCCTCCTAGTTTTAATATCAAACAACAAACTTTGTATTATTAATTATTCACATTCTTAAAAAAAGTACTGGGGCTGTCCAAAACAAAGTCACATTTAGCCAGATAAGACTAAATGACACATTTGGGGGAAACTGAAGCTGCACTTCTTAGATTTCATATAAGGAACAAGTATCACAGGGTATGACTCATGAATGCAAAGGAAATCCATAAATGGCAAAGAAAAACCTCTACAGAAACACAATAACCAAAAAACCTCCATTAGTGCAACAGCAACCATAGAAACAGGCCTTGGATCGATTCCTCTGTTCTTTCTATATCTTCCTACCCCGAGATAAAGTGTTGCAGCATGACAGTCTCAGTCGTCAGAGCTCAAAACAGTCAAATACCACTGAGATCATTCTGCAGAAAAATACTTAAGCTGTTGTTTATTTCAAGGAAAAGCTCGTCAGACTTGTTCAGAAAAGGGAGGAATACATATTTTATTTCTCTGTCCAATAAGAGGCAGGCCCCCTGGGATTGAGTGCAGGGGTGGGGGTGGGAACGGCACGAAGAGGACCAGGATCTTCTGAGAGAAAGGTTAGTTGGTGTATTGATGAACAGACAGAGAATGGATTCATGCACAAATCTGGAAAGAAAACCAGACACGGTTCAGATTCACTGGCAGTGGATTTAAAATGGATAAAGACAAAGAGTCACATGCTCCACTTTTAAAGTATGAATGTTTTTGTTTCTGAATCCTGTTTTTGGAATGAAGTGAAACCAGTTGATGTCTCCACTTCCCATTTCTGTTCCTTGAGCATTGAAAAAAGACTCTAAGAAAGACAGAGACGAGGTTAACAGCTCCTGTTTAAAAACATTTCCATCTGGCCTAGTTTCATGTAGGGTATTTGAACATGTTGTGTAATTTAACCGACATCTGAAACAGAAAGCAGAGATCTGAGGGAACTGTGGTGTCAGGTTACTGACACTGACACAGCTACTGTGGAATAGAGCCACAGAAACAGAAGACACCATTAATGTGTCTGAGTAAAAATGAAATTGTGTGTTTGAACTTGTGTGTTGCTTTTAATTTCAGGAATCTGGTTCATGTCTATGTCTCTTCGTGATCATCCATCACTTGTTGCAGTTGATCTCAGAAATACACAACTAATAAAAAAGTCCAGGTTTTTGTCAGTATTCTTTTTTGTAGCAGGAAGTGGAAAACACAAGTGTCTGGTATATATTTCCTGTGTTTAACCAGAACAGCAGTGATTTACATGTACGGAAAAGGTTTTGACACTAGAGTATGAACTTCATTTATAAAATAGGTTGTTTCACTTTAGTGGGAACTGATCTGCCGCTGATCTAGAGAAAAAAACCCACCCACATCAACGTGGTGATCCACAAACTCATACCACCATGTCTGTATGAGGTCAGGACAGTGTCAATCTCTTCAGGTCACAACATAGTCAGGCGATCAGTTTGTAAAACCAACAAGATTGTGAAAGAACACACGATTAATCGAGAAATTGACTCATTAATAATGAGCATAATCATGACTAACAGCTCCAGTTTTGAGGGTTTACAGCTCAAGATAGACATAAACATGTTTCAGAGCCACCCCCTTCAAATAATTTGTTTTTTCAATCAAAAGTCTTGATAAATTACTACAACGTCTGATCACTGACTGATAATCTGAATCTGAGGACTGATTGTTATGAGACCATAGCTAAGAAATCTGAAACTGTGATAACTGTGTGTGTAATATCCGTGTCAGACAGCGAGAAACTACAAAACTCTCTCTGGACTTAAACAACAATAGACGCAGGTGTCAGCGGATTCAGAAGTCACCTACCTCCAGCACCGGTCCCGCCCCGAGGATGGTCCGCTCCAGCCCGGTGGAGTATGTCTTCTGGCTGAGTGCGGTCAGGCAGTGGACGAGATAACTGCTGCTCTCCGTCTTCCCTGAGCCACTCTCTCCAGATATGACAATGCACTGGTTAACCTGCCTGCTGAGCATGGTACGGAAGGCCACGTCCGCTACCGCAAATATATGAGGGCTTAGTTTGCCCAGTGGCTGGTTCTCATACATCTTGATGTACTTGGGGTTGTAGTAAACAGGAAGGATCTTATTGGGATTGATGGCGATAAGGATGTTGCTGACGTAGGTGTAGATTTTTAACTTGTAGAAGCGTTGGCGTAAAGCCTCCAGAATACTCTCCTCAGTCACAGTTGGGAGGTTACAGAGGTCATCATAGTCCTCGGTGCTGCTCTCTTGGTTGCCTCCGTTGGCTTGCTGCAGCTGCTGCAGGATGAAGTAGTGGCCCTTGCCCTGAGGATGCCACCTCTGTGCCTCTGGAGGCCACAGCAGGACTCGATCCAGAGGAAACTCGCCGTCTTCCAGCGGCCTCTCTTCTCCATCGCTCTTCCTGACCTCCAGCAGGGCGTACTTCTGGCTGGACTCCAGCCCGAGAGTGATGATAGCATTGTGGATGATAGATCTCGCCGTGTCCCCGCTGCTCACCTGCAGGGGACAGTAGGCAGCTGTGTTCTGGGACACCCTGGGGTAGATCTGCACAACTCGGGCCCTTCCATCCTGCTCAGGGGCCCCGGCTCCATCCGTAGTGCTCATCCTGATACAAGGAGGCAGACTTCAGCATAACTCACTGTGCCAACTCTCTGCCAGCTTCCACTGTAGAAACACACACAGTGAGATTAATTACAGTGAAATGATGAAGATCTAATTAAAATCAAAACAACTCAATCGAAGTACACAACTTCCTTTTTACAATAAATAAATAAATAATAAATGCAGATTATTATTTAATTCAAGATCAAACATCGTATGGTTTTGGATCTTGAGTTATATGGAACTTTATGGAGTACATGGGGGATGACGGGGTCCAGCTAGGCCCTTCGGAGAGGTTGGTCTATAACATATATTCAATGATAGTCGGCCGCGACCTCGACAATGTCTCGGATCACTCTTGATGCACTAGTGTATGTTTTTGTGTCTTGGTTTCTCTTTTGTCTTTCTTTTTCTGTGTTTGTCCTTAAGACTGAAAAACTACATTCTTAGCCCTTCAGAGAGGTCTATATAGGGGTCTATATCATTGATTCACTATTTTGTTTCTTGGTTTCTTTGTTTTATTTGTCTCTTTCTCCGTGTGAAGACTCAAAGACAGTGTCTGGTCGACGTTGGGGATGACAGGGCCCAGATTAGCCCTTCGGAGGGGTCTACACGGTCCAGCATAGTCTTGAGGTACGTTAGAGCCATTATGTCTCTTATATTTTCCTTCTGCCTCTCTTACTGTACTTTTTTCTGTCTTGGTTGTCTTTTCTTCTCTTTTTCTGTGTGTCTTCCTGTGTGTCCTCTGACATTTATAAGAGTTCTTGTGATTGAAAACTCTAAAAAAAATCAATGAACAAACTACAAATCGACAAATAACATAAAAAAACACTTTGCTTCCCTCATTTCAACCTGCTGCATCAGCAATAACCCACTTTTCCCTTCAACGCCATTAAAAGTTCCCACTCACACATCCACCCAGGTGACACATGTCAAACAGAGACAGCACCGAGGTTCAATCTGGATTCTATCTGGATTAAAATGAACGAATGAAACTCACCAGACCGCTCATCTCATCTTTAACAGCTGAAAAACTCCCAACGACAGCGAGGAGAGGAGACGCGCTCCTGCAGCTCCAGTGAAACAGAGTCAGAGAAAAGCTGAAACTTTCCTCACCTGAGCCTCCGGAGAGAGAAAAGGTGAGACAGGAAACGGTTCTCGCTCCGTTTCAAATCACTGACATCTCTGCGAAGAAGAAGTTCCTCCTTCAAATCACACTTTTGTTTCAGATGTCGAGGATTTAAATGTGTCTCCACCTCGACGTTGTCCCGGTCGAGAAGTTACTTCCTAGATTTTTACACACGCGCACCCGCGCGAACACACACACGCACCTATGCAAAGAAACACACGAGCACGCGCGTTGACGAGGTGGAAATAAAGTGATGCCTTCACGGACCTGACGCTCGCAGCAGGTAAAAGAGAGGGTTTAAACGTCCGATTGGCAGTGAACGTCCCATTGAAGCGTTTTTATAACTCAAAATATCTAAAAGTTTATTTTTCAAGTGTTCCAGATGGGATTCAATATATTGTGGGATTTAATACAATTATGTATTGGTATGGCAATATTTGTATTATCTGTATTTTTTAATAATTAATATTCATGTAAAATATCAGAAGCACTAAGATACCGTAGTGTTTATCGAGGGTAATAATGTGAATATATAAATTACTTGTTTATCATTTCAGTGTTTAGGTTGGGTTTAAGGTTTTGGAGAATGGAGATAAGAGTTAAAACAATACAGCACTAGGTTGGAGTCAGTCTTTTGGAGTCAGTCAGGTGAAACACCTGACAAAAAAGAAAAAGTTTCAAAAAAGTATTTAATATCATTACTTAAGGATTCACTATTTTGATCATCCCATTTGTTTCAGTTCTTTTCTAAGTGGAAGAGTAGTGCTCTCACCTGGAGCTCAGGGAAGGAGATTACATGAAGGGGGTGTGGACAGAAGAAGCCATGATATAAAACCTTTTTTCACATTTTATGTATGAAAGTCTTAAACGCAGCTTCTCCTCATGTGATACACACAGAAAATAATTTCATGACAATTTATTATTTTCCAGCACTGTTTACTTCAACGTGTTTACACACCAGGCTTGATCACCAGGGTGAGCTGGGGGCGCCCCCTACTGGAGGTTTGAGGTATAACGACCAACTCACAGCACTTGTCAACTGTATTTGTTACACACAAGTAGTTGTGGACAAGTGACTTCATACATATTCGTTAAAGTTATAAATGTGGATTTATATTCGTAAACATGTCAACATGTTGTGATGTCCCAGGACGTTTCTGCAAAGTATATCCATTTAGAAAGTAATTGTTTGCTGCTATTTTAATGTTTAAAAACTCTAAAACCTTCAACTTGGTTTTGATTTCTCCTCTTTTGTGTGCAAACTCAAATTTGAGACACTCACGAATATACACAAATAATGCAAAAACTATACAAAGAAGAACTATACTTTCATTTAAAAGTTATACATACAACAAAACAAAACAAAAATGACTACAGTAAGGTGAAAATGACTATGAACAGACAAATATCAAACACTTGGTGTTTTTATAACTAAAATTAACCCCAGCCCTAAATGTATCTCAATCCAACAAATGATGTCAGAGAACAGATTTTTGGAAACATTTTAATCCTCAGCAAGAACAGAAAGAAAAGTGTCTTGACTTGTTCCTCCTTCAGTTGTAAAAAGATAATAACGTGAACTGCACAGTTATGGGTTTCAAACAGTAAAAATCAACATGCATGGCGATTAAATAAAAATCTAGTGTTTATAGTCTGTCGAGTTTTACTTAGTGAAATCAATTAAATTAAAAATCAACATGAAAATTGACACCAGTTAATTTTTCGAGCAACATTTTTGTCCATGTGTGCAAGTTTTTTAACGAGGTGGCCCACGGTGAAAAGTTCTTGTTTCAACGACATCCTGAAAACAGAGGATATATAAAAAATCAATAGTTTGTCTTGTGATGACCAGTTTTGCTTTATGCTAATGCGGCGTCTGCCCACTCAGGTGGATAATGAGAGCAGAGGTGTCGAGCTGGTATCAAACTGTATCTCAGTTTGGTGAAGAAGCTCGCAGACACACTGACAGCTTATTATAGTGTGAGGAATGAAGAGGGGGTAAAGTGTTACTCAGCACAAATCAGCTGCTGCTGATAACGACTACCTGCAGACACAGCCATATTCACCCACACAGAGAGACAAATTAGGATGCACACACACACACACACACACACACACATTGTTTCCATGTGTCACAATCGCAAATTCATCATTCCTGACATCTACATGCCACTGAGTGTTTTTATAAAATGTCTGTGGTTATAACCTGTGGGTTTATTCTGATTATTTTGATGGGGGACGATGATGGAGGCCTTGTTAATGGCGCTGGTGTCTTTTGGATGTCACTCTTGTTCCTGCTGGACTGAGCCAGTTCTGCAAAGACACACTGAAACCAGTTCAGTAGGCACACGAGTACACAGCCGGAAAAATGCCTCATTGCAACATTCCCCAAAATGATTGAAAGCACAAAATTGAGTGAGTTATGCTTCTATTTTTAACTCTGCACAGCAAGGAAAGTGCAGAACTGACACACACAGTAAAACAACTCTTGACTTAAATCATCTTTATCTCAGAAAATGTAAAAATGTTGATTATAATCATTTCCTAATAAAAAGTTTGGACGGTGAACCCTGGTGCCTAGATCACAGACAGGTTACTGTATGTTTGGACATGCAAATCCCTCTACAGCATTTCTCTTTGTTTTACAGTGCATGTGGTCGTGCTTTTTCATCCTGTGCATCCTTTTACTTCCCACCCATCTCTGTTTTTGGATCTGGTCTGCTGGGAGTTCATTCTTTCATGTCAGACACTGAACTTAGCCACTGTGAACAATTCCTGTTAAAGTTTAATGCTCACTAATGAGCTAAGTTCTGCATCTTCAGAAAAGTCATCCCAGAGAGGGATATCGGAGCTTTGTACATCTCATTCTGCAAGAAAAAAAATACACCTTGTACAGCTCATACAATTATACAGATTTGTAATGGAGATCACAGATTTAAGTGAAATTGCAATCACGTGCATCACAGTAAAAATGTTTCCACTGCAGGCACAGAAGTCATTAAAGAGAGAGTAAACAGGTAAATCACTCATAAAAACAAAGTGTATTAGTCTAATACATACTGACCACTAACAATGAATGGAGACTTAAGAGGATTGGTTTGCTGAAGAGTCAGACCACAGTTTATTACTTTAAAATGCAAGAACTTAAAAGCTCTTTTCATGACCTGCATGTTAATGACCATTGTAAAAATCAAATGGCCTCACATCCTTCCTCTAATCTAGTCTTGGAAGAAGATTTCAAAACCTTTACTGAAGTAAAAACAAGAAGGAAATGTGAAATGTGAAAACCCCGCATTACAAGTAAAACGTAAAATCACAGATTAACAGCAAAATGCACACAAAGTATGTAAAAGTATATGTGTCCACGCAGCAGAGGGTTCGATTATTACATTAAGTATAAGTGGATTATTTATAATGATGTATAAACATGTAAACAGAATTTAATGTCGCAGATGGCCGAGGTGCATTTGACATTTGGTTGGATAATGGGAATTTGACGAAATTTATGAGAATTAGAATGAGCTTTCAACAAATACATAAAGTGAAGTAAAAGTGTAATATTTCAATTTGAAATGTGGTGTTCTAGAAATATTAAGTAGAAGAACATGAAAATACTCAATTAAAGTCCCTGAGATGGAGAAAAAATAAGAGTGTGGGGGAGTCAAACCTCCTCCGGGCAGCACATCCGTCAAAAGTTCAGCAGACTGTGTGCACATTATTGACGAGGTGTTTAAGGAGCTTTAAAAGCAGATATCAGTTTTCTGGAGTCTCTACGTCCATCGTTTGTACTCAGATAATTTATCTGAGCCTCAGGACACAGGCTCAGTTTCCAGAACAAACTGTTAGTCCACCGAAACAGTGGTGACATGACATCACAGTCCGCTGAAAAACTACTCACTCACACCATTTGTGCCACCGCGACCTGGAGCCTTACACAACAAACACATGCATCAATTCTGTCTGTGTATTCTAACATTCTCATTGAAGCTAATTGAAATGACAGAATCTGTCTCCGCATGTTCATCTCTTCACTCCTGCAAGTTGCACTGGTTTAATCACAGTAATACAACAAACACAGGACTAGATCGACGTATTAATGAGATAATTTTGTCATTTTTTCTTAACTCATTTATTCTTGTTACCCAAATAAGTCATCATCTCAGACTCTGCCATCAAAATAGCTTCGATTTCACACTCGCAGCGGCACAAGCCCTGTAAACACAACCCAAGAGTTGTATTAGTTTCAAGGGTATCGGTGTCAGAGTGAAGTTACCTGAGCTCAGCTGCCATTATGTCATTTTTCACCCTGTTTCTGGAGAAGAAAAGGCAGCTGCAGCCTTTTGTCATCCCGCTAACTCCTCCTCTCCTGCAGAGAAGAAGTGTGATGATGATCCATCTTTGGATGAAACGAGCAGGATAACAAAGATATCCACTATCACCTTCGTGCTTGTCTTTATTTAACTTCTTCAGGTTCTGTTCTGACTCTTTTTCTTTTCGGGGGAAAATGGGAAAGTTCTTATGAGCAGAAAGTGTGTGGAACAGTAGGATTGAGAAAGAGAAAATGAAGGTAACAGAAGGAGAGAGAGTCGTACACTGGAAAATAGTCGATACAAGCAATCAAGTAGTTTCACACTCAGTAAAAACATTCCCTTAACAAGAGCAGATGCACTTAAATGCATTTAAGTATCCGACACATGCAAAGGATTTTCATATCTGATGCATCTCATCTTAAATTCCTAAAAAATCCTCCATCTTGTTGTAAAAGTCTCAACTTACCTGTGAGTAAACAAAAGCTGTGGTTAATGAGACAGAGGAGAAGAGGCCCTCAGTGTCTTCAGTCCCTCAGCAGTCCCTGCTGGTCCCCCCCATGTTTTCTGTTGCATGTTCTCAGCGCTGCCTTCCACTCCTCAAGCTGCTCAGTGTGAGGTGTGAGTGAACGGGGGGGGTGAGCATGTGTGAAAAGAGAGGAGGCACAAAAGAGGGAGGGGAGAGGGAGGAATGGAGGGAGAGAGAGGAGGAGGATAATCGGACAGGTGTGGAATTTACACACTCTGCTGGCTCACTATTGGTTTGCTTCAGGGTGATGAGTCATCGTTCTTATGGGGGGG